GTGGGTTCGAGTCCCACCCGAGTAAGCTTGTGACTTTTTTTGCAAGCTCTCGGACAAGCACTGAGCATACAGTGTTTATTAATATATATGTTGGGTAAGGGTAAAACCCGTTATATAAATTAACATCTCCCCAACGCAAAAATACATCTTGAAAACTGTTTTTTATTTCATTAATTCCATCATTTAAAATTTTCGAAATACTTCGTTTTTTGAAATGAGGTCTCATTACTTTTCACCTGTATGTCTTCCCTCTACAAAATTGTTATGATTTACACACATCAGATCCAGGTGAATTACTGGGTGGCTTGGAAGAAGAACTACAGTGAACCGCGGTTCGACGTCTGCACACCGAATTCTGTGGCGGCACAGCAGCCCTTGAGAATAGGCAAGTCGCTGAACTGCGGAGACCAGACCTGTATCGACGACATGACCTACATTTGCACCGATTACAACGAAGCTGGAGATTATGCTGCTGGTCAGGGCTCACAAATAATCGCCGCCCCTGACGGAGCCGACGTGTTTGACATCAGGTATTCACTTTCGGACCGATATTGGCATTAAAAAAATGTTTAAAAACTGGAGAAGTGGTATTTGTGAATACAAAAACGAGGCGATTGGGCATGACAACTGTGCGCTGTTCAGTTGAATGGTGAGCTGCATGGAATAAGTATGTAAAGATCAATGGTACATTTCACGTGAGATTGAAATGATTTGTCAGTGGAGGTGTCACCAACCGAAAGCCTCTGACCGGTGACGCTACATCTAAACATTTTGAGGGATAACGACAGACTTCGCCGCACACTTCAACCGAAAAGTCATTTTACTTATTTTACTCCAACGATATTAATGACGCCACTTGTTACATTTTTGGAAAGTATGGTGTACTATTTACGACAAACATTTCTCTCTCTCTCTTTAGCCTCACTCCAGGCAACGCAACTACACGACGCGACGGCACTACGGCTCCCTTGCGTCGTGCCGTCGGGTCGAACCTTCGCCTTTTTGCCATTACGTTTGTACACACACGACGCGTCGCGTCGTGCGTCGCGTCGTGCCGTCGCCCGTCGCGTCGTGCTGTCTCGGGTATTTTCCATGTTTCATTTTTTCCCGCCTAAACGTCGCCCCTCCCGTCGTACCGTCGTGCGTCGCGTCGTACGTCGTGTCGTGCATTGCGTCGCCTATTACGTCACCTGAAACACGACGCGACGCACGACACGACGCACGACGCGACGCGTCGTGTGCTGTCGCCCTTTGTTTCGTAGTGTTTATAGAGGGCGCCTTTACTGTTTTCTTTCATTTCCGCCCCCAGTACTTGAATAGTAGGGTACAGTCCACTAAATCAAGCCCCATTGAAAACAGTGTAAAATCGGCACTGTTCAGGGCCCAATAACATGCTAACCAACATCCTTGAGATTGCTGAAACACAAATAAAATTATTGTCTGGTCCCTAATCTTTCGATTTCTACAATATTTCTAAATTTCTTCTAAGATACAATACATCAATCATAATAACAGAGGAGGAATTATACATGTGTGTGGCCAAACAGAGTTGAAAAAAGACACGGCCGCAATGATAATAGCGTCTGCATAATGTTTTATTCAGAAACATGGGCTAATATCATTGAAAGTGTGGTGCTGATGAAGGTAACGAGGAAGACTGGCCTTAAGGAAGACTAAGACGGAATATTCTGAGGGTATTATCGAGCAGGCTTGGAGGTAACTTCCTAAACCCGTGGTCAAACTTGCGGTCATACAATTGTAGACAAATTGTCTGGGGAATTGGGAGTACTACTTAGAAATTATCGGGATGGACAGCGGAGAAATACCGGTATCTATAAGATTACAAATCTACCACAAAAGGGAAATTCATTGACGGTATTCAAAAGAAATCATTGGCTGGGTTTAAAGAGTGACGAATTCTGGGCTTCCACATATTATGAGAGAGCAGTTCCTACATATGCCGATTTTCTTCTTGCTCTTTTTTCTTTTTCTTAATAAAACATGACAGAAATTAATCCTAATCGAGGAATGGATGAGATAAAAACAAGAACACATCAACACCAAAGAGTAAATAGCATATACTTTGCAAGCACGGGGGACAGAAATGAAAGAAAACAGTAAAAGCGCCCTCTATAAACACTATGAAGCAAAGGGCGACAGCACACGACGCGTCGCGTCGTGCGTCGTGTTGTGCGTTGCGTCGTGCTTCAGGCGACGCGATGCACGACACGACGTACGACGCGACGCACGACGGTACAACGCGACGGGCGACGGGAGGGGCGACGTTTAGGCGCGAAAAAAATGAAACATGGAAAATACCTGAGACAGCACGATGCGACGCGTCGTGTGTGTACAAACGTAATGGCAAGAAGGCGACGGTTAGACCCGACGGCACGACGCAAGGGAGCCGTCGTGCCGTCGCGTCGTGTAGTTGCGTCGCCTGGATGGAGGCTAAAGAGAGAGAGAAATGTTTGTCGTAAATAGTACACCATAGGAAAGTAGTGTCGTGCCGAAGACTAACACTTTTGAGCTAAATCACCTGAAAAAATTCAGAATAGAAAGAAAAACAGGAAAAATTCTCAGCACATGGCTGTTGGTACAGGCGCGTCGACATATGCATCAAGTGTTGCATATCTGTCAAAATCGCTCCGTAGAGGCTGGACGATGTTGACGGATATGCAACGCACACTTGTGTTATGTGAAACGCACGAACGTTTCGTGTACGCAACGCACCCTGAAATATATGGAAAGTACCTTTACAGATATCCTCTGAATGTAGTCACACTTACGGACTGGATAGTCTTGATTTCTGCATTACAACCAGCTCAGTTGAATTTCCTACAAAGAAGTAACTGTATTCTTGCAAAATCACGCTGATTTTCTTTGCAGAGAGCTGAGAAATTTTTGTTTTTCTCTGTCGTTAGTTTTATGCTTTTTTTTTCCAGGGAAGATGGCCTCGCGGCGACTTTGTTAAACTTCGGGAGCGTCTCATAATTCGAGATATATATGCAACCATACGTATGAAGCCGTTCATCGTTAAATCAACAGTAAAAACACCATCAATTTGTGTGAATTGCGGTAGTCAAACGGTTACGGCATAATGAATGGTTTGTGAAGCATGGGGTGTGGGTTCGAATCACGGCTTGGAATTGTGGGCAGGGAGGCAAATAAAGCCCGAATGTTATAGGAGCCTAATTTCACACGTGAAGTTTTTATGGTTGGTTGAGCATCTAAATGTCATGCATTGAGCATGGTTGTGAACCGTGGTTGGCTTCATACGTCTGATTGCATAATTCGGAACGGTCGGATCATTCCCGTTGGAACGCCGTGTTCTCATTCCGGAACGGGCGGCCGTTCAGTTGGGAACGCGACGTTCCACAGGAACGCTGTGTTCCTTTGTGAGAACGATCAAAGATACTTGGACGATCCGACCCGAACACGCGTTCCATCCCGTCAAACCGTCGTCATTGGGGTAGCTAAATTCATATCGCCCATGTACAAAGTTTTGCCAATGCAATGTCCAGCAACGGGGGCTGCAATAAAACGAGCGTAGTACTAGGTGAACTACTTTGCTTTTATGATAGGCCTAATTTTGAATGAGAATTGGAAGTAAACTGAAGATGGAAATGAGATATGGCAAAAATTTGTTAATTTTCCGATGATGGAAAGTTTGTTTTTGACTGAGATACAAAAGTGAAAATCACCACGTGCTGACTGCATGCAGAGTATAGGCCTGTGCGTGTATCACTGGGCTATAGGCTGCAATACCAACGTCGAGGTTAATTGCCTTAGTCGTGTCGTTCAACCTTTTTGGCGATATTTGAAGACTTCACCCCGCACCCTTCCAATTACAGGTTAGGTTTCCAAATTGTTTCTGATATGATGGAGTACTTATGCGTGGAAACATTGCGATGATAAATCCCTCTACCACGCACGCCCGACTATGAACAAAACACTCGCGAGTACCATGCGAGTACAGACGTTAACATTAACACAATAAAATTACCGGTGTGCAGATGTACGCTAAATTCATTGCATGGTAAGGTGTGTCATGGTGAATATGGAAAAGAAAAACAGGAGAGAAGTTTAACCTTCATGAAGAGTAAATCGCAAAATGCTGCACTCCAGCTACCGTGCTTCAGATACAGGGTCTAGAAAATAAATGCCAGAAATATTTCTTCTCAATTGCGAATGTAGTAATTGCAGGACCATTTCACTGGGAACATGCGTTCCCAATGGTATTCTGCCTGGAATGGTCTGGAACGTGCCCAGATTGCGGGCACGTTCCGATGGAACACCAGTGTTCCAGTGGGAACAGTCCAAGGAACAGGAATGTTTCAAACTTTTTAAGACGCTCCCTTGGCATCTTTTTTTTTTTTCAACTTGGTCTAATTTACAAAGTTCCGCTACTCCGATTTGCTGAATTCACAAAAGTCTCAAAACCTCGTGTGAGGGTAGCTCAAGAGAACTAGACCTATAGTGACGATGGTTTTCTTTTTCTATAGTTTCCACAGTTGTTGCTGGGTGAACCTAGAAAATTACCCTGTGCCGAGACACTACCTGTTGAATGCCACCGTGAACCTGACGCCTCGTGGTAATCGAGGGGGCCTGATCAATTCCTCGCCCGTTGCCGCTGTCGTACCAGTGCAGCTCGTTCAGCAAAGCTGCAGCCATGTCATTCGCATTCCAGGTATTTTGGGGTGTAACTTCAGGATGTATTCCGCAGGCACATTGTTTGTGGCCCACGCTCACAAAATGAGTTACAAGTCGCCAGAGCCAAGTGTGTAAGTTTAAAAGAATCTTGCACGCAGTACAATAAATTACCAGGAACCTTCATAGTTTTTCACCCACATTCCATTTACATCAGGATGACAATCTGTGTGATACGTCAAAACAAAGATCTCAGTTTGCTGTTTGATGAGTAATGCAAACTAAAACCAAGTTACAGAAAAAAATTACCTTAAGATTCATTTTGTGGGATAAGGTCACATTTCTTTGGCGTTGTAGGGGGTGGATTGGGAATTTTTCCAGGGGGGTCAGGCCCTACAGATTTTAACGTCAGATTGTTGAGGGCAGGTGGATGCATAAGTGAAGCATGGCATTGTCTTTTTTTCCCGTTGTTTTATTTCTTTATCAACTTCTGTTAGGTGTCAAAGTGGGGGGGGGTATGACTCCCACTATGGGTCTGCCGCTACAGTGCATGAAACAACTAATTAATGATCGTTTTATACTGTGAAATGAAAAGAAAATTTTCATATAATGAAATGAAATGATCCACTCTTGTCTTATGGAGTGTAAAATTCTATTTACCGCGTCAAGAATTTTTACTATTGCACTCACAAACATTTGCTATTTCAATATCAAATAATTTAAATATCAACAGCTTAAGCCTAGATGTTTTGTACGGCCTGGACTTGGAATGCTCTTAAACTTCTTGTAAGATTTCTGTAGAAAAATCCAACAAAATTGCCTTTGCTTTAAATATATTCACAATTAAATTTTTTTACATTATAAGCAAAATACAAGCATTCTAAAGAGTATCAGAACCATATAACAAGGTGAAAAGAATTGAAATTAAAAATAATAAAGAAGAAGGTAAGAGAAACAAAAGGGGAGGAGAGTGGATAAAAATACCAATTTGCTTGAAAATACCTCAGAATTGAATCCCCACCACCATTAATGGTTTATCAGTTTGCTGCTGATGATATTTTTGTCACCACAGAGACAGTCCTGTACAGCTGGAAAAAATCCTGCCAGCGCCCATGTTAGGAACTTTCTTTACCCCTCTCAACACCCCTCCCTGGGAGTTCCACCTCAAATCCAGTTCCTTTCCTTTACACCACCCCAATTCCAATATTAAACTATTTTTCTTTGTATGACTGGTTACTTGAGCAGGGCGTAATTTTGACGGATTTTTGTATAGCAATGATTGCTATGCAATATTCATATTGCATAGCATTTTGCTATGCATGCATTCGCAAACTGCGATGCAGTAACAGGAAAATTATGCCCTGTTGAGCTAACGCATCCAAGATTCTCTCAAATTGACCATCGCTTTTTGTGTCTCTTTCCTCTAGTGAGCGACCCTGATGGTGATGTGGTGCGATGTCGCTTCCCGGTTGAATCAAACCGGGAGTGCTTTAAAGTGTGCGGTCCACTTGCTAATGCCGACTTGCAAAACTCTGGGGTATAGTTTGATTCTTGACTGTTCTTTCCTTCCTTGAGACAGTGAAACAGGATTTTGATAACAGCAGTAAAGGGCCTTGGAAAGATATTCTGGGAAATGCTCTTAATAGGACATTGTCCGGTGTTTATAAATTTTTCCAATATATGTGCAAACTGATGGATATTAAAAAGCGGCAATTTTGGACCACATTTTGGGAGAGGATACATGTACACTGACCTCAGGTGCAGCCGTTCAAGATGTAACCTTGTATGAATAAATATTAACATTAATTTAGTACATGCAGTTCCTAGTTAGCAAGGCCTCTTTCTGGAAACACCACACTTTTGATTAATTGTCAGCTAGGTTTATATGTTGAGTTGGACACGTCAACTGATTGCACAGAACAAGTTGAAGGTCATTTCCAAACTTCTGGGGCAATGCCATTAAATTGAAAATTTCAACTGCAAAATTGGTTTGATATTTGTTCTTTAATTGCTTTTTGACCCTTTTTATTCTTGCTTTATGCTGGAGTTTAGAATGCATGAAATGTTACAAAAATGAGTGAATCTTGTTCCTCCAAATATTTGCTGTGGTTTATTTCATAACGTGTTGCAGGATGAGTGTGTGCTGATCTATGACGGTTCCTCCCAATCTACGGGATGGTATGCCGTCACCATCATGATTGAAGACTTCAACAGAAGAAGAAGTCGCAGGCCGCTCAGTAGGGTAAGACAATTCAGGCTGTACCTTTGCCAGGAGGGGGGTTGTTACTGTTAGACCCTTTGAAAATACTTCAGAAAGGATTGAACAAGAACACTTCATACTAAATTGTTGTTTTGGAGGCTGGCTAAAAGTAGATTCACAGTTTACTGCTGTTTACATCCAAGAATTTGAAATTATGTCCACTATTTTTGTTGACAATCTTTACTGTCAGATGTCAGATTTTCAACTTGTTCATACCTGCTCTTATTCCTGAAACTCTCACAACCTTCAAATTTGCCTCTTCAAGGCCCATGAACCTACAGCCAATTAACTGATTCTGGTATTTCTATTGAAGCTTTTGTTGTAAGGTTTCACCCATTATCATGGAAACACTGAACTAAACTCATAATATACTGCCTCTATTAGAAATTGGTTGATAGCAGATGAAACTCAAGGGAATATATTCATTCATCTTTCCTATTAAATCTCCATATTTTTGTCCTATCTATTAGTTTAAGTCAGAAGTGGGTTAGGAGTGTCTTTATCAATTGACGTCACAGTTAAAGAGTGTCATTGCTGCCTGCCATAGGTGCCTCTGCATTTCTTGATCAATGTGACAGCAACTGATGACAACTGTCACCAGCCCCGCTTCCAGCATCCTACCCCAGAGAATGGAGCCTGTCTGCCCGCAGCGGTGGGCCAGCAGAAGATAATCAAGCTAGCCGCAAGCAGCGAAGATGCAGGGTACACGTAAGTCGGTGTAGCAGACCTTACTGCATTAGGCCAACTTTCAGTTTGACAAATCAGCCGGGCTCAGTGTCATAACACTGCTTAATTACCAGTTGGCAAAAATATTGTGCTTGCCACAGCAAAAAATCATGTTGCTGCCTGACCACTTTTCATATGATGGAGGTGCTAACGGAGATTAATGTCAGTGATTTAAGCAACTTCTTCTCCAGAGTTAAACTTGCTTCTATGCCACTTACTGCTCGCAACAGTCTCCAGGAAATAGACTGAGGGTTATCACAAGAACTGCTATTAAGCAGCACTGTGACATTGGGCCTGGGTTAAAATCATTTATGACTGACATTGCAGGATCCTTCGAAGTTAAAAGTAAACTTGGACTAGTGTGACTATATGGTTATGAAATGGAGTAATGTCTTTCTTTCTGCAGACTTTTCATGGTTTTTAAAAGACAGTTTATCAGAGCAGCTGCACCATTGTCTGTATTGTTGTAACTGTGCTGACATGCGATGACATAAACACAGCTATCATATAAACCTGCATGTATTGTAATGGCAAAGGTTTACACTTTCTCATCGAGGCAAGCACAGTAATTGTCATAATCGTCACAATGCCAGGATAAGGAGAAAATGGATCTCTGAATTAAAATTCGGTCCAGAATTTCAGTGATAAACATAACACAAAGAGGAGAGTGCTGATTCAGAGGAATTGGAGAATATTAACCCTAACCCTCCTCAGTCCTCCAACAGGTGAAGGATTGAGATGGGTTAGGGTTAAGCCTATCCATGCAGGCGACAAACGGATGTCTTGTGTCAACATTCAACAGCAGAATGTGCAGGAAAGCGCGTATTTGTTTATTTGAGGGTTTCAGCATACTTGACTGGAATTGATGGAAATTGCACTCATACTGAGCCATACATCAGGATGGTTGCTTTCCTGTTGAGGAAGGGGTTAAAGTCCTGCAAGAGGTTTGTCACGGTGGGGAGGGTTGGTGGCAGAGGGCAGGGGAGAGGGTAGGCAATGGGTAGAGAATTCCCAAACCCCATTTTTACATTTAAAAATTTAAGAAATTTAAGAAATTTAAGGCTTTTAGCTTTTTAATACCCTTTTCTTTTGTAATTGTACATATTATTGTATATTTATTTGTTTTAATGTACATGTAAATTGTATTCACAATTCTGCCCCTGGCGGCGAGGAATACAGTTAAAATAAATAAACCATTCAAAAATTTGCTGTTAGTTTTTGAGAATTATTAAGAAAAAATCCCAAGTAGAAGTTGTCGTACATCCCCTCCCCCAAATTTAAGAATTTGATTGTATTCTATTTTCCATTTACCATCCTCATTTATAAGCCTACAAGCATGTTTGAACGGTATTTGATACATTAACAGTAGTCTGAAAACTAATGGAATTTTCCTCAAACATATTCCTCCCCAGAATCTCGGGAATTTCCACCTTCGGTTTACCTTTGGGGATGACAGTGTCACCTCTGACTTCCCATCCTGGGAACCCTGCACTGTTTTACGTTGAACTGAGCTGGGTCCCCCAAGACAACCAAGCTGGACCACATCAGATCTGTTTTGCCGCATTCGATCGGAAAAATAACAAGGAGTACGTTTCGTGGCATACGCCATCTGTGGCCGACCAATTTACTCTTCATGTATAAGAATATGGACACAGTTCTTTACCTTGATAATGTCTTCAATATCTCCTGCGTCATACTGATAATTCATGAGTGTTACGTTTCAGTTAAGCATAAAACTTTTTTCAAACTTTTTTCAAATGCTGCTGTGAGGATTGGTATTTGCAGTGTCATTTTATTTTTGTGAATTCTACTTTCTCCCTTCAGATTTGCATCCGACCAAGTTTGTGTGACAGTTTTTGTTGGAGGTAACTTCCAAACTCGATTCTGCTGTTAAATCTTTCTTTTGATAACAGTTTTGACATTTCATACATCAGAAAGATAGCTTAAGTTGAAAAAATACACACTTGGTATGTTGGCGAAGGTTAAAAGAAAGATTATACTCCAAAGGAGGGATAAAAAAAATGTGTGGGACCTGTACTGTTGCCAAAGTCGGTTTCTTCAGCCATGTACCATAGATTTACAATAAGCCCACTGAAATTTGGGACCATGCAAACTGTTCCGATGTATATGATGCCACTAATGCTAGAGCCATTATGTCCTGTTTGCCAGGTGGCTCGTTTTTCCTTTCGTAAGTCATTCGAATAGCAACACAGTGTGCTTGGAAATAATAACATAAGTGCAATGAACATTTCCTTTTGGACATGCAGCCCCTGTTGTCCACCCAGTCCCGGAGGTATCCCGTCCACAGCCAGGGCAGACTGTAGATGTATCCAATCAGGAATGGGAAATTCATTTTAATTCGACGGTAAGACGCTTTCACCAGCAGGAAGACACGGATGTTGGTTTTGTTTTCTTCTAATTGAATGCTTGTAAGCAATTTGTTTTGGGGGTATTTGAAGGACCAAGTTTGATATGGATGAGGTAATACGTATTGATTATTATCATTCACCTTTGTCACTGTCATCTTCATTCTGGTTAGCAACTTTTTAAATGTTGAGATTTTCATCATCATTATTATTATTAGAATCAACAATCATGAAAGTCACCGTCGCTGTCGGTGAGAGTAGTGAACAGTAGCCATGGTTTATATCACCATGATCAATATTGCAATATCGTGATGATTTCATTATTGTTTCCGCTGTTGTCATGGTCAAATTATCAGTATCATGACTACCACCGTCAACTTCATACCCCATGATGAATATTGTCACCTTTTTTGTTGCTGTTACAATCAATCTAATCAAGGATGTATAGTTAACATAATTATTATTTCATCATAATAATTACAATGTCATTGACCTTTTCATCATCCTGGTTACTGGTTACGTTGTCCTCGTTGTTGGTAGTATCATTTCCAGAGTGATGTTGTCATCATTTCAGATAATGCAACACACCACCGAGGCGGGTGCCATTGTTTCCTTCATCAGAAATGACACCGATGAGACGGTCTACACAGTCAACTTAGCCGCAGAGTCCAATCTGAATGTCCAGTTCCCCACCGAAGACTCGGTGGTCTTCAACACCCCGGGAATCATCCTTGAAGGAGATACCGTGTATGTCTTGCGGGTGCATGAGGGCGCTGTCCGTAGCGACACGGAATGCAAGTCCAACTCTGCTGCTCACGAATGGCACTTTGTGACTGGGCGTAAGTGAACGTCGCTGTCATGTTTCTTCTTGTGCCTGTTCTTCTTCTGACTTTTACCTTCTTGCGTAATGTGCACAGTTTTTATTTGTCACTGTTTTGGCCCCTGTGAAGTTGCAGTTTAGTGCTTCATCTTGCCACTGTTTGTTGATTAAGCGTAAGATTTTGAGGGCTCCCAAATCGCTGTCGGGAATTCTTCCAACATAAATATTCTTTCTATTGTATCATTTTTTGACAAATACAGTACACGATTAAGGATATTCCGTGAAGTTTCAGCAAATATATGTATTGCTGACATTTAATCCAGATAGATCAAGTAACTAATTGTTATTGATACCAAAAATACTCAGGTATATTTGGGATTAAAAGCTATCACGGTTTGTAGAATAAACAAATCCAGTACTATGTCAAAACACATCGTAATGAAAGCCTTCTTTGGAAATATGGTGATGGATTCATTGTTAATCCAGTTTTGAGATCTGTCTGAATTCTTGTTGTCTTCACAGCTGATCACAACCTCCCTGCCACCAGGTTTTCCCCCGAAGAGATCAGACGAGTCTCTACAGCCGTGCCGGAGTGTTTCTCCAGTTTCATGTTGATCTATGTCTCCAAGGCCTGGCTGGCCACCGTCAGCTCTCTTGTCGACCCAGCTGGGATGCACCTGAACGATCCGTCATGCACTGGGGAGGAATTCAACGAAACCCACTACATCCTTGGGGCAACTCACGACATGTGTGGCACTGCCGTTGAAGTAAGTTGAGTGGGAAGAAATTTCAGTAAGTTAAAAATACCAAAGCCCGGTACATGAAACCCAGCAGACTCGGTCGTTTGATGACACACAGCAATTTATTAAAGTCTATAGAAGACGTCTTCAATCAAATGTGTTATATTGTCTCAGCTTTTCAACTTATGCCGGAAATTTTCCCCATCAAGATTATTCATCAGGAAACATGACAGTTTTGCAGGTTTATACCAATTTACGATATACATGTATCAACTTTTGATATATTTTGAGACAAACTTCATGTTGAAAAAATATCTCGAAAAATGCAATATTGACGACCAAACCTTTCAAACTTCGGGGTGGCATTGTTAAGGACACCTAGCTCCCCTTCCTTGTTTTTCTCCACTGACAAAATGGTAATTAGTCACAGGTAATATCTTGTTTTTATTTTTCAGTCCGAGAGCAGCAATGTGCAGGTTGTTGAGAACATTGTCCACATTCCCCCTCAACCGGAAAGCCCCAGCTCCCCCATCACCAGAGACAACAACATTGAGGTCCACGTGACCTGCCGACTGACAGGGGCAAAGGTCACACACGCCCAGTTTGATCCCAACATCACCACCATCGTCTACTATGAGACGGGCTATGGGACTTTCAACTTCCAGCTTCGGATGTTTCACGACTCAAGCTTCGGGAATAAGTACAGGCCCAGGGACTATCCCATCGACGTGTACCAGAAACAACGGCTGTACTTCGAAGCCAAGGTCATGTCCAATGATGACATGTCAATATTCCTACAGTCATGCAGAGCCACCCCGACAGCCAACCCAAGAGACCCAACATCCTATGTTTTCATTGATTCAGGGTAAAAGAAAAGGACTGCTATGTATTAAGATACAGTTTTGGAGCCATTGCAGAAGACTAATCACTTTATTTTTAAAAAATTGAGATCTTCTTGAAAGTACGACTGTAATTGCGCTCATTTGATACTAAATATTTTACTGAAGGTGTAGCTGATCAGTTTAATACTTACACATGTTCCAAAAAAAAAGGTTCTTAATTTCATCTCCAATTTTTTTCCATGCATTATTGCGGTACAGAATAAATGCATTACAAGAGTTGATTTTTATCTACTCTCTTCATGGCTTTTTCATCTCATGTAGCCAGTTAGGGCAGTATTAAAAAAGCAGATTTTTTGTCTTTCTGCTTTAACTTACTTGAAAGGCATACACATTGGTTTGATTGGACAAAAACTAAGAGAGACTTGTTGACATGAAATTTCAGATGCAAGGTTGATGACACGGTCCAATTCCACGAACTCAGCAATAGCATGCTGAAGAGGTTCTCCATTGAGGCTTTCGCCTTCATCGGAAACAATCTCCATGGCTCGGTAAACTTTTATGCGACTTAGCGCTTAACTTACAGGGATCCAGTGAACTCTCTCTGCTTTTATCATTTATGAATGGTTTTGAAAGTGGAAGGGGGAAGAACCTAAAAGGATGGGTTCAAGATTTTTGGGTGGGGGGGTCAATTTTTTCATACCTTTTATGGCTTAGTAGAAACGGGGAGGGCAAAATAGCTATCTTTTCAAAGGTGTGGGACAACCCCCCCACCCAACTAGCCTCACCGGTTCCACCCCTGGAATTTTGTGTTTTTGGATAACTTGAACTGTGCTACAAACATGGAGACATATTTCAGAGAAGACCTTTTTGTGACAAACGTTACAGGTGTTTGTTCACTGTGACATAGCCACGTGCTTTGCTGATGACATTGACTCCCCCTGTGCCAGAGGATGCGTGGAATCCCCATCTATTGCAAGGAGAGACACATCCCAGACTGGTTCCGCCTCCAAAGCTTATCCAAACACAGATGGGCCCATCAGGATCCATACCACTACAAAACGTATGACTCAAATCCCAAATGCCCGTGATGCAAATTTTTTTTCTTCAGTTTTTACTGCAAGAATGTTGTTTAGTATAGCAAGGCAAAACTGAGAGGTTCTTTCAGTGCACTGCCGTTCCATACTTGAGTTTGTGCGTCCAAGATGCTTGTTTACTGTAACATTCACTGCGTCCTCAAGTGAGACATGCAAAACTCTGCTATCATCGTCTGATGTTTAAGTGTCAGTTGAGACGAAATCGCACCGTGCATACCTGTCGAGAGTTTCGAAATTTGGCATTGGCAGATGTACAGGAGAAAGATCAGTCCACTAATCACATTGAATAATTGGTCATTAAAAATGCATCATTGCCTATTAGTTTGCTGTTTACGAAACTAATTCATTCTTTAGATGCTCCATTGTACTGAACATCTTTACAGCTCTTGCTGTAGCTGACAAGTTTTCAATGTTGCCTCCTTCCAGAAATGGGGAGCAAGGTCATGACAGCCTCCAAGCAATTCAACTTCTCTCTGGTGGAGCTGCCGATGTTGACGGCTGCTATTCTCCTGCTCTCCATCATCCTCCTGGTTCTCATCCGAGTGGTTAAGATCACGGGGCGGCCCAAGAGGCTGGAAACACCCATGAACCCTCATCGTGTGGATCGGATCAAGCTGCCATCTATCAGGATTGGTAACGAGTAACTAGTGTCACATGCGAGGGCCACACCTGCAGATCGGTGTGGTATATGAAATTCGGATTCTGTGAAATTTGAGCTGTTTGTCCATTTTCTGTGTGTACAGAACAGTGTTAGCCAACAGGTAAACAGGGTTCCGGGATTCACGGGACAAAAACTACCAAAATTCACAGGGGTCCCAATCAGTTCTTGCTCTGCCTGGATGTGAACTACTATTTCTGATGCAACCGTAATGATTCTTGCTTGAGCTCATTTCAGCTGCAGATGTTCCATAACACCAGTGCATTTTATGTTCATCTTAGTGTGAAGTTGAAACTGGCTTTGTACATTGCGCTCCGTGAAACTTTCCGGGGAATCAATACCTGTGACAATTCAGGCACAAACTTGTCAAAAGATTAATTCGCTATAATCTTACCAAACCTTAACACACTTTCCCACTTTTTTAACCACAAATTAGGGTTTGTTAAAGGGTTCAATTCAAATATGAAACAGTGAGATGTTTTATGTTTCATGCAGGTAATGGTTGTTTTATTTACATCTAACCAATAAAAAATGAAAACTTTAATGAACTGTACCATATGTCACATCACACACAATTTATACGCCTCCAGAGAAATCAATAGTTTGAAAAGCATATTAAAATCAGTTTCAATTTTTTACAAGGGCCCCAAAACATATACATAGGAAAAATGTTAACGCTGTTAATTACAATAAGCAATCTACCAACATACATATTGATCTGGTGGATTTGTTTCATATTTGCTGCCAGGAATGGACACCTGCATGCTTTATATACATGTTTTCTTGTACAACAGTTGTACTTTGCATGTACTGCATAAATGCTGAACCCAGCTAAACACCTGTGAAAAGTCCGAGGAATGGACCCTAAGCTTGAACCACTAGTCTAACTAGCTGGTGTTTTAAAGTACTTTACCCTTTTTTCTTATGTTCCGACATGATATCCCTTCCAGTAAAGCTCTTTGGTCGTAATCACTATTTAAATCATCAGAACCCCTTAAGGGCCTTCTATGTGAAATAGAAATCTTTACATAATGTCATTTAGGGACACAACTTGAATACCTACTATTGTTAAAAGTCACAGCCCTTCTCTCCAAAATGTGAAACCCATCTTGGGTTAGAGGAAAGAAACAAAAGTGTTAAGAGTGGTGTTGAATTTCATACTGGATGCCGGAGCCTCTTGCCAACATGGGCTGAAGTTGAATCTTCCATTTTTCAATGCTTCATTTTTGAAAAGTCCATAAGCCTTGTGTCCAGGCAATGCTCAACTTTGAGAGGAGTTACAAGAACTGTGCAGTTTTCACAATAGCCTTGTGATATTAAGTAATGTAAAAACTTGTGAAGGTCAGAGCTGCTGTATCGTACACTAGTGTACAATTCATTGCCAAGGAGCAAACGAGCTGAATACTATTCTATTCCAAGTTGTGCATAACTAATGACGCTTATTTTAGAAGTTTTATATTTTTTTATTATAAAACATAAAATAAAGCTTTTTCCTTAACTGGAGCCAAAAATAAGGGTCAGTCAGAAATGAGAATTTCTGACCCACCCTTATACGGTTCACAGGTGACTTTGTCAAACACGTGAACGCACCACTGATTGCAAGCTTCTGTTGGATGAAAAGTCAAGTTGAGCATCACCTTCCAGTTCCATGATTCCATGTAACTCTATGTGCAGTGGGCGTTGTTTAAACTGAAGTGATGTCACAACTATGGGCACACATAGTCTCTTCGGAATTGCTCACAAAGCCCTCTGCGTGGACAAGAGATGCACATGTTTTTCTCACGGTAATGACAACCCTTTGGTGGGACAGGCCATGCATGTATGCACACGTGCAGGTTCACGTGTACAAGGCACAGCGCAGACACTCCCAATTTGTATTGGACTGCACAGTTCTTGCAGAAACAGGTGCACAGCTCACATAATTGACCATTTACAGTCAGTCTTTTGCTGGTTCTTGTATGGGGTAGAGGCCAGTCTCTTCACAACACCCCTCTGTCAATATTTCAGTGAGCTACTAGCCCTAGCATTATTTCTCACAATGACTGGTACAGTGTTTTGCCTCAAAGATGACTATAAATAAGCCAAATATAGTGCAGGTAGTTCCTACAACTATTACAGGTGTATTTCTATCGGCTAAACAGTCATTTACTTATTGCAGCAACATAAATGAAAGACAGCTATTCGTTGGAGTGTTTTCTTTCTTTCTTTCTTTGTTTTTTGCTTTCACCAGTAACCATGGCATATCTAATGCTTGTATGGAGGGTAGTATATTACAAGATTACTGATCTTATAATGAGAGTGCTCCCACATGAAGGTGAAATACTGAAACTTAATAAAAACACTGATCTAAAAAATATGTTTGAGAGTGTTAATAAAAGGCATTTTATATTTTCAAGTGGAAAGTTGGAAAAGGGCTTTTCACAAAATGTGTAAAAATGAGATCAATCATTAGGCCTTGTGAGTGACAAAATACAGCTACATTTTTCCACACGCATGTAAGTTAGCATTTTAAATGACTTGTTCATGTAAGTTATCTGTTCCTGTCCTACTGAGTTTGTTCAGTATTTGGTCCTGCACACGAAAAGGTTAAAATTCTCACAGCTTTTTAGAAAAACTACCACTCAGCTGGCAACGGAAGGGGTTCACACCATGTAGCATGCTCTTTTTGGAAAAACAGCAACTGACCATGATGGCAGAGGACTGGCCGAATCATCTTGACAACACACGCTCCGCAGCAAGTTGTTCACTGCAGGAAAGCCCTGAGGAAGTCATTGTAGGATATCTTGCCCTCCAGGCACCGGTCGTAGTAGGTCATCAGGTGGAAGAACTCGTCCTCGGACAGGTTGATGTTGAACTGACGGAGGACTGAGCGGAAGTCTGAAGCCGTCACAATGCCGGTGCCCGAGGGGTCCATGCCCCGGAACACCCGTCTCATCTGCTTCCAGTTGTCCAGGATGCACTGGCGGACGCGTAGCATGGCTTCGATCATGTCGCTGCTGGAGGAGCCGGGCTTAGTCTGAAAGAAAAGGGGGGGGCACGGAACCAATGTGACCATCGGAAATCAAATCGGCAGTACAATACTTTAAACAGAGGCATAATGAACATTTTGTTTGCCCACTGCAGACAAAGTTTATATTCCATTTAAGCTACGGTCAGACTTTGATAATTTTACAATTAAAAACAATTTACATTAACAATGTTTATCCTTTTCAATCTGCACACTCCCTTAGTCAATAACAAGGAGTTAGCAGGTCAATTCAGGAAGCTGCCAAATAGAAAATGCTACTCTGAAAATTTGCTGCTTAGCAGATATCTACTTAGCAGATATTTGCTGAGGACCAGTGCATTTTGACTGGTAATCCACTTTTGTAAGCATATAGTTTATTTGTTCAGCAATTCACATGTACTCAGTGATTTCATAACATTGGCCCCAGTATGTAGTTTGTCAGGTTGAATTGGAGGTCTCTAATATCAACAGAAGATGCTTACTGGGATCTTGGATGGATGGATTCTCTGTCGGCTCATCAGTGTTCTGTCACCTTCCTCTGCCACTGGCTGCAGTTTTAGAACAAAGTGCTTCAGGAAGTCCAAATAAGCAAACCTAGGAGGGGAAAGGGTGATAGGAAATCATCAACTTGCAACAATATCAGTTTGAAAAAATAAACTTTGTAAAGCATTTCTTTGGAGGAATGCATTTAGGGGCCTCGCTAGACTAATTTGAATGAGGGATTGACTGCAAAACTGCTGATGAAGTACGTTGGAAGAAAAAAGGGTAAATGTCCCAAGCAATTCTTTCTGAAATTTGCCAACTGCCAACCAGATACTTCTAGCTGGGGCATAAAGTGGAAATAAAACAAAAACAAGGGCTTCTTAAATTTTGTATTCACTTATTTTATTGGGTTTTTTTTTGGCAGATTTATGGTCCATTCTGCATTTTGATGATTTATGCCTGAAATAAAAGTTTTACCATGTGCTATAAATATGATGCAGTAAAAGCTTATTTTTGAAATGTTTGAAAGGTGTGTCAGTTCACATGACGAATATGTCTGGACTTTATCCCTGAAATTTTCCAATTTTAAGCTCGATGGAACTTTTAACTGGCATAAAATTAAAACCCAGAATACAAATAGGCAACTTCTGTGTCTTCTTCTTAGCAACATCACAAAATTCACTTTGTGAAATTTGAAAAGGAAACCCTCGTTGTAACAAGTTCTATATTATGAAACAAATGAAAGTCCAGTTTTGACAGAAGACACCACATTGTCCTAATGTATTGGCAAATCAAGGTCTTCTTTATGACAAATGACTGATGAAGACTTACTTCCCATTTCCTTTCAAGTCGTACTTGGTGGTAAGTTGATCAAACTCGTCTCCAAACAAGGAGAACCCAAGACTTTCCAAGATAGCTGAATGAAAAAACAAACAAATGTTACCTCATAAAATATACTGAGGCAATTTGTACAAACAGATATTTTACAAACTACTCTGTCATTAACCATATCAATACCATCTACATAGCCAAAATAATATCTTGAGAAAAGTTCTGAAATTTAAAAGGGGGTTCACCTTCATTACTAATAACTGACACTATCGTTAAATGAACACAGTTCATAATATGGTACACAAACAAAACATGCCACTTGTGAGGTTCCCAGTCAACATTTTACAGTGCATTTTTATCCTGTGGTTAATCCTTTGTTCTTTCTTGGTACCGTGTACATCTGTCGACTTCAATGCAAAACGACATAATTTGTAACAATCCGACACATGACAATTGAGCCCATCAAATTGTGAAGACCAATGATAACCTCTTCCCAATCTACTATTTGTACAACTGCAAAATCTTGTCCAAGTCTGGACAGTGACATCAAAACCATCACATTTTTGGCCAGCAGACTCATTTTAGGAAGTGGTGTAATTTTTTGCCCGCACACTCCAATCCCTACCTTTAAAGTCTTCTGCGCTGACCTCGCCGGTGTTGTCTGCATCTTTCTGGCGGCAAAGCCGCTGGACGTCCTTCCACTGCTTGCCTATCTGGCTCTTGAGTCTTTGCTCCACCCCCTGGGCATTGACGAGGGGCGTGGCCAGACGGGATTGGCTCGACAACCTCCCAGACTATGGGTCAAAATATCAAAATCACAAATGTTATCATTATCATTTTGATGGAAGGAGACCGGGGAAGCCAAATGGACGGATGACTGAACTGCAAAAGCTACTCAGTAATTTTCAAGTAAACATCCTGACCCCTCCAAAAATCTACCACCAAGCAAGCATTCAGTGGTAAATACCTTCACAAGCCAACGTTGATCACACAGTAACTCAACTTAGTTTTTGCTGTGCACGGTCTACAAATTGCATTGGCTTCATGTAGCAAACATAACTTCCGTAAGAAGTATGCAACGAACCATCACAAAAAGGGGCAGCGTAGATTTTTTCAATGAGGGCTCTTCAAGCATCAGAATGCTTCTGTGACCTGATTTTCGACAGTACATTCACAATATTTAACAGATAACAAAAGTGAACAAAGCCTGAAAAATCACTGAGCACAGGTTAACAATATTCACATCTGGAATACACAACGTCGTGAAACTGGTCTTACTTAATAATTAAAATTAAGATTTAAGTAATTGACTATTCTGTGTACCCAACATGCAGTCTTGGTTTTCTAAATCTGAGAAATAAAAAAACTCAAGCTAAACTCTGACCATTTTGCTGGGTGTGCGTGCTGCTGGGCTGGTGTAGATCTGCCTGTTGGGTTGCACCAAGGTCGCCCTGGGTAACTCAGACAGTGAGTCAAACTTGGACACGTCCAGGTTGTCCACCATGTACTGCTTGAGGAAGCGACGGTATTCCACATTGCCAAACTCGTTGATTGGCAAGGTGTTCCACAGACTCTCAAACTGTTGATAGGGAAACAGAACACGAAGTTGTCAGACCAAATGATCACAAGAAAAAAGGATATTACATTCGACTCATCTGAAGGCCACCTGCTGCAACAGTTAATGGTGCTGTGGATTAATTCATCATGCATGCAACAGAGATGGATTTACTGCCTATGTGTGCCCATGTGTATACAGATCATGCAGGTGCCATATTGGACCTGTTTGTCATTTATACTTGTGTAGCAGGTGGGACAGAGTATATTTTACGGACAAGTAAAAAGAATTTAGCCTGCTATGCAAAGGTCAGGTTACTCTTTACATTTTTGTACTGTTCAGATCATCACGAGACCAGACACAAGACCAACCGCAAGTAGCATGCACATCCACAAAGGAGTACTTTTGTTGCAGTTCATTAGAACGGCCTATTTAGACTGGAAGTCTTGTGATAGTCTTGTGGGGTCTTGTGATAGTCTTAAGGTGTCTTAACTGCAAATCTTGCCTTGGTAGCCCCAACTGACTGTGAACAGCAAACTAATATACTCACACATTCTGTCCAAATCACCTGCTGTTCATGTAATGGGCTTCATTTTAGCCAACGCGATGCAGTCCCTCAACCACTACTAAAGGCATTACTCTACTGTCCAGAGACAGAATTTCTTGAATTTGACAAAGCTAAGTATTTCTTTGTACAAGTCACCCTCTCAACCAACAAGCTAGAGCTGACTGGTTTACAACGCACCTGATCAGGGTTCATCCGGAATCCGATTTCGTCCAAGACTGCCTTGAAGTCCTCCCTGCAGACGACACCGATCTTGGCATAGTCAATCTCGGCAAACCGCTCAGCAAACCGGTAGAAGCGTGCTGACACCGTCTCCCGCAGGTCTCGCTGGAGGTCTTCCAGGGTGTAGAGGGGCGGAGACCGAGACGTCTCCTCCTCTACTTTATTCAGGGAGTCAAACCAGTTGTTGGCAATCTGGACAGGAGCACAGATAAACAAGAGAAACTTGTGGATCGTTATCACAAAGTCACATACACACTGTTCATTACATATCAACTGCTTCATGTGGTGTGGAAAAACTAGCCTCTCAAATTGAGCCATGAAGCCTTCCATTTTCCAAAATGAGGCTGAGGAAAACCAGCATGCTCCATGGCTTGTGATGGACTTGCAGGAGCCTGAAGGGATTTATGATGAACTGGACTTTTACACTGCTCTTTTGTACTATGGGTAATTATTTTCAGAGCACAGCTAATTTCTCAACTTAGTAACTCCACAAATTTGGACTACAGTGACAAAAGAAATTACAATAAATTACAGGGGTTACGGGTGCAAAATACTAAGTTATGTTTCAGTCTGTCTTTCAAAAAATGCACCATACTAGACTTGCATATTTTTCACTTTACTCAATTTTATGAAGCTGATAACATCCTTGGGTAAAAATGACAAGTCTCATCTTATCTTCATGGGTGGTAAATTACAATGGCCATACTTGCTTAGCCACAAAAAAAAAAAAAGAACAACACCTCCCCACCAAAAAACCTCAGATTACCAGCTCCAAATTCATTAGATTTTCTGTATCATGGTTCTTGGCACAAATATTTACAAAACACTTTCTGCTCAGCAAATGCCTCCATGATATTGAAGCATAAAAGAGTCAAGGTTTTCTATAAATGAAAATACTGACCTCATCCTCATTGGTGGTGAACTCCTCCAGGAAGGCCAAGTAGCTGAGGGTCAGGTCGGAGTGCAACCGTACCTTAGTCATGAGGTGTTTGAACTGCTTGTCGGTCAGCTTGAAGCAGAAGTTGTCTAGGACACGGCGCAGCTGCGGAGCTGTGATGCGTCCCGACTTGCCCTTGTCAAAAGCCCCAAAGGCCTGAAGCAGGTAGGAAAAAAAAACAGAAGGGCCTTGACATGTTACACATTTTTCACTGGAGTTCATGTGCTGCCTGGCAGGAAGGCATAATTTAAACCATCTGTGATATTTGTGTGGGAAAAAAGACAAAAACAATCAAATAAAAATTAAAAATAGCCGGAACACACTTCTTCTTGACAAGTCAAAGCAGTTGCATGTGACAGATCTCTTTTGTAAGTTTGTGAGGTTCTAAAAAGAACCTTGGAACTTAACAAGTTTATAAACATGATCATTTGTGAGAGTTAGGCTCAAAAGGTTATGAAATGCCAAATCCAAGAATATCTGAAATCAAGAACACACAGTTGTCAGTTAGCATTAATGTTGAGTTTCTTGTTTCCTGCTTTGACGTAAAATAGTCCCATGACACAAACAAATATCTTCGGTACGTATCTTCGGCAAGTACGGATCCATTGCAGTTGTGTTCTTACCCTCATTAAAGGCAACACGAAACCATATCATGTTTACATAAAACTGTGACAACTGTGATTTTTCACACTAATGGTCATAAAAATGCAGTTACTGGGCACCAGCAAGTTTTGACAAATTCAAGCATGATGTTCACTTTGACCTTTGAACTTACAGCTTTGAGGATGGGTAGCTGTGTGGCCATCATCCGCTTGAGTTTCTTGATGGCTTTGTCGGGGTTCAGCAGGGAGAAACTCTCGGGTCGTACCACCGGGGGGTTCTTCTGCCGATAGCGCAATTCCCTGGCCTCATCAAATGCGTCCAGAAATTGGATGTAGGAGAGTTTGCCTTTGTCTGATTGGACACCGATTCTACAAGATTAAAAGAACATAGGATAGAAAGGAAGGAATGATTGCGCACAGGATGCTTCTTTATAAAGTTGCCTTGTGAATGAACGAACTTTGATTTCAGCGAAACTGATTTTGTGCTGCAATATAAGTCTGCTGACTTCTATCTATTAGGTGGGATTTTATTTACTGCAAAATCAAACATCGATTTTCTTATATCTAGGCTTTCATATCAATGTTGCTTTTTCCATAGCTAATAGTTTCAGAGCAAACAGTGTCCAAGATCTGCCATCATGTGATATAAAAGTCTCATTTGAAAGGCCACTTTTAAACTTCTTTTATTTGAGTTCTAAGCTTGACAGATGTTTTACGATTGGAAAAACTGTGACAGGAATCTTTGAACAGTCATAAGTTAAGATGTTTATTTTCTATGTGAAACAACTAGAACCTCCATAGGCAAAGATTTTTACCAATTAACGCGACCCGAAGAAGAAAAAGAACAGACTCACCTTTGTAAAAACTCGGCAAATGTGTCATCATCCACAAGGTAATTGTGATCCAGCAACACTCGCTTGAGTTCCTTGACAGTAATGTGACCTGTCTTGCTGAGGTCAAGCTCATTGAAGGCCGTCTGGAAGGACGCATATCGGTCTCTGAATCGGTCCTTCAGGGCCTGCTCCAGCTGACTAGCGGAGATAAAGGTGGCGTTGGAGGCCTGGTTGACAGTGATGTTCATCCTTGAAAACAGGGGCAATGTAAAGTTTCATGGGGAGGTCAGGAACCTGAAAAACTTCCCAAAACTACTTTTTATCTACAGATGCAAATGCAGATATATCTGTGTGATTTTTGAAACCAAAGCACCTTTGGCAAGACTGAGTCCATTAAATACCCACCTGTTTTTTGACAAATCACAGCCATGGCTGCACAACCAAATGCCCTGCAAGTGTCGACCTGCATTCATTTCTAAGAATAACAGCTGCTCAAAGCCATTGAAAGTAAAATCAGCTTCACAAAAACAGCTTACCAGCTGAGGGCAAGGTTGGGCATGAACTATACATGTAGTTTGACCACCAGTTACTTACTTTAAATGCCCAATATAGTCAGACTTGAAGGATCTGAGACAAAGATTTTGTCAAATCTCACCATGACTCGCATTTTGCCATGGGCAACCCTCTCAGTGTTCATGGCCAATGACATCTCATACAATTATGTTAACGTGAATAGTTCCCTTCATATCAATAAATAAAATCAGCTGTTGACAAACAGCGTTGCAACCATGCCCCACGGCCGGCCTGGTTCCAAATGGGAAACTAGATGATCCAAACCATTCATCATAAGGATGACGCTGGTTGAAGTTTTGGTGAACTATAATCATCGCTCGAACTTATCCCAAATGTCACAACTGGTTTTTGCCAAGCACATCCATTTGCTGAGCACATTTTCTGTTTAGCAGCTTCTATAAACTTGACCCCTCAGTTCTTACTGTTTATCCATCTGGTTAATGTGATGGTTCTCCAGAGCCTCGTAGGAATCCTCAACAATCCTCCGGCTGACCCCGGCGTCATCCCCAGGTGCAAAGGTCTTGCCCATCATGCGCAGAAAATGCTGATGGTCGATGTAGCCTTTGTTGTTCACATCGTACCTATGTTAAGTGTTAAACAAAAAATCTCATATCATCAATTAACAACGTCCTCAAGTCTTGCAAAAACTCTGGATTTTTGGCTCATATCCCCTGCTATTTTAGGTATGTGAATTTAGCGAGTGAATTGATAATACCTGATTAAAGACCACAAAATAAGCAAGTTTTGTGTGGATCTTCCTCTTCAATAAAATCTGAGTTTTGAAATTCCGAGACAATGCACAACTTGGTCAATGTTTCCAAATAAAACGTTATGTAAGAATTAATGTTATGGGAAAAACATGGATCAACATCAGCCAGATAAGACAACTCTTTTAAAAATTGAATTGCCCAAGCAAATGAATAAAATCTTTCATTAAATTTAGCAAATCAAGTTTTAATCTATTAATATTGACAAAGGAATTTTAACACTGGATATAATACTCATGTAATTCCATCCCAGAAATTCTGAAGACAATAAAAAAAGCAGACGACATACTTTTTCCAGAGGAGCTCAAATTCCTCCTTGGTCATAGGAAGCATGAAGGTGTAGAGCAGATCTCTTAGCTCCTTCTTAGTGATGACGCCGTTGCCGTTCTTATCGATGGACATGAAGGCCTTGGCTAGGTCCTGGTACTGTCGCTGTGCCTTGGTCACCAGGATATCATGGACCTGGTCGGCAGCGAGTTGGATGGGGTCTAAGGTCCTGTTGAACCTGTGTTGAATTTGGAAAATCCCAAACAACTCAACTCGTGGTATTTAGAGCAGCAACTCCCCCCCCCAAAAAAAAACTACCCACCAGTGATGCAGGCAACTTGGTACAAAAATTAGTCTATTCTGGGTGGTGGCCAACACAGGACCCATATCTAAATTTGGTACAACGAAGCATTTGCAACAAATATCCACCACTGTAGTTTCCACTTGCACAAATCAATGGATTAAATACTTGCTGGGAATGTCACAAATGTGCAGAGTTTGCCTTTGTACCAGGTCCCCCAGCTGCCCTGATAGCAGACGGTCATAGTTGGGTAATTCATACTCAAAAGTGCTTTGCAAGTACTCGGAGTACCCAAGTCTCCATTTCACCCACAAATTATCCACATAATTAACCGCTTCCTGCCGGGCAACCCGTTTTCAAGTACATAGGCTTTATATGCAGAGCCGGGGAACCCGGAACTGAGACTAAAGAGTTGGGCCTTATAACAAAAGACTGAGCTGCTGGGCATTACCGACATTTTTTCGCTCTCAATAGAGGAGATAATCCAGCCTTGTTTTGAAACAGTATACCACGATTTGAGGCATTTAGAGCGAACGGATTACCACCGGGGACAAAAGCGCTCCACCACCACAGCGATGAGCCACACAGCACCGCTGCACGCTAATCTGGCCCCTATTGAAAAAAGGTCAGCAGTGCACTGTGCCGGTTTCGGGAACAAAAGAATCTTATGTAACCGCACAATCTGGGCTCTTTTTCCAAGGCTGCAGGCCTAGCTGAAATATTCAGCAGTCAATGAATTTTACCTGTCAGCTTTAGAATAGTGCCCAAAGAATCCTTCATTTTTTATAACGGCCATTAAATGAATTGATGAATTTTGAAGAATTTTGAAAATGGAAAATCTTGAAAATGAGCTGGCCTCTTGTCTTGCTCAAGAAAACTCCACCCGGCAGCAAGTGGTTAACCTGATCAAATCACATTTGGACTATGTAACACTTACTAATTGACTTTAGGTGACTGATTGACCAACTGACTGAACCCATTCCTTGAGAAAACTGTTGTTGTCTTGAGCAATTTTAAGGTTTTAATAAATTTTAATGTGATGTTGGTTTTCTTGTGTAATTAAAAACTGTTTTCATTTTTTTTTACTGGGACCCATGGATGATCAGAGCTACCAGCACTAAATGGGAAACTCCAGCTTAAACGGGAAATAAATAAATAAATCAACTTTAACAAAGACATTTCTACTTGCTAGTGAAAGTACTTGTGATCAACGCTGTCAGCAACACTAGTGGAGTACTTTTTAATCACTGGACTGTCACACTGTGTACCTGTGATCAGAATCCAGCCATTTATGACTGCCTGGTGCATCCACCACCTGGAACCGTTCCAGGAAGTCTCGATAGCTCAGCTTGGTTCTCTTGTTGATGGCCAACTTGCTCATCAGCCGCTTAAACTCCTCCTCTGAGATGGTGAACATTAATGCATCCATCAGGTGTCGGAAGTCGTCTTGTTCCACCAGTCCATCGTGGTTGTCATCCAGCTTGTAGAAAGTGGTGCGCAGGCTCTGTGTTTTTAGGATCATAAAAAAAAAATGTCGGGAAATTGGTTTTAAAAAATTTCAATAGAATGTCTCAAAAAGTTTTCAAACGCCCTATTTGACATGCAGCACTGTCTAAATGGGTGCAAACCTTGGTAGGTTATTTCCATGTTGACAGATGTGTACTGTAAAGTGGCACTGTTTGAGACAAGTTCAGGTCTGACCAGCAAAGGGAACATTGCCATATTCATACTGAAGAATTTTTAATGTTATTGAAGTTGCTGCCTTATAGGACAGGGAAAGTACTCATCAAATTTAACTTGTATGCTAATGCTTAGAGCACTTAACTTTAGATGAAACTGATTAGTTACATGTATGTCACAAATAAAAACGATTTTTATTCATGATTTGGCAAACCTGTTCTTTGAAAAATAATGTAAATACAATGCCAAAACAACTGCTCTCCGCTGATGACATCTATGGGTGTTGAGGAGGACATACAGCACTAACAGCTTCACCTTAGGCAAGGACACCCTTCTCACAAGGTCAACGACATGCAAAGGTGGAGGGATTTATCTGTCAAGAAGGAGGAGTTGAGCAGGCAACCGAAGCAGGCAATTGCTCGTTTTATCTTTCATTTTCCAATTTTTAATGGCTTAGGAAGGAAGTTCAAACTTTCTTAAACAGCATAGATCCACCTGTGAACTCACCCCAAAGGCCTGCCTCATCTTGTCCATGAGCTGGCCCTCCACCTCCTCTGCCGTCATGTTGTACAGTGGTAGCTCTGTGTAACGGTGATTGGGCACTCGCTGGATCTCCTCCCCTGGACCCCCGGCCCTGGGATCCTCAAATTGCTCCACAAAGTCTGAGTAAGTTAGGGGGCCTCGGTTGAAGCCGATGACCTCACACAGGTGACCGAACTGCTCATCCGACATGTACATCCCAAAGGACTCTAGTACCTATGACATCAAAAGAGTACTGTTAGACACAAAACCCCTGACTAGCCCTTAACCCCTAGGGTGTAAGTAAAATCATATTGACTCTTAGGGTTAATAGCCAGAAGCTAACGAAATGAAGATGACAAAGTGTACATGTATGCTGTATGGTTCTGACATTTAATTGATTGGTATGGACAACTTCATTCCTTGATCATACATTACAGTTAAATATTCCGATTATATATATATACAATCTTATACTTTAAGTTAAGGGTGAGGTGCATTTGGATACTTTTAGAAACTGTGCCCAACTTATCAAACCTGATGAGAAGAGAAATATTAGTGACTGCAAGAGAACTGGTGCTTCATTCATCTCACAAAAGAAAGGGAACAACAGTCTTGAAACAAGGCTACAAAGGTAAAATGCACCTGTTAACCACATACCTCCCTGAATTCTTTCTTGTACAGTTTGCCTCTCCTGTTTTTGCAGTAACGCAGGAAATTCTCCCGGATGCGACCCGATTTCTGAGCCATGCGGTCCTTCAGCTTGACCATCACTTCGTCAGCTGACATCTGGCTCGTCCTCTCCAGAGCATTCAGCTGCACGTTGGTCAGCCTGTTGAAACAGAGGGAGAACAGTGAGGCTGTGTCCAAAAGTTATGGCTACGGCTGGACATAGCACATCTGCCCACAGGGCAGCCACTGGCAAGTAGCTACAGCCACTTGCAGTCAAGTCCACAGTAGGTCCAATACAAGTTAAGTCACAAGTCAATAACAAGTCTAAGCACACGTCTGATCACAGATGACAGAAGGCGAACAATGGCACATTTTATCATGATTCATTTGAATGCCTTGTGACTTGACTCGGATGACTTGTGACTAACTCATGAATACCTTGAGGTTGACACGAACATCGGTAATTACAACTGCAGGCAACCTGACTAACCTGATATCCAGGTCGGCTTGTCTCTGCTGCTCACTTAGATCACTCAAGACCTGTATCCGTGTGCTTGGACCTACCAAGTCCCCTGGGGAGACATCTACACCCAGCTTCTGCAAGAACTCGGCAAACATGATCTTGCCGTCGGGGGATTCCTCGCACTGACTCCATAACCTGCCAAAGAAAGTTCATAAGTGGATCTTGGCTTGAGGGCTCTAGAATTCATTCAAGAGGGGTCAGAAAGCTGGAACTAGGAACAATGAGAACTGACAACTTTACAACTAAACTCTGTCTCTCAAATCTAAGAAATACTTCGGATTCATATTCGTTCAACCTAGTCTGGACAGGATTGCAAGTACTTAATGATGTCGGCAAAACAACTGGTGAGTGGTACGTTTTTACTAGCAATCAGACAGTCAAGGCTTTCATATCTTAACTCAGAGAACTAGGAATTCTAGGAAAACGTAGAAAAAGGATTGTTGTGTTATGAAAAACCTTCACAAGGCAACACTTAGGGTTTTTCACGCTATAGGAAAACTCAGGCTATGCTCTTCCAGGATGTAATTTTTTTAATAACACTTGCAATGAAAACAATGAGATTCTACTCATTAAATTTTGAAAGAGCTTCAATTAGAAACTAGTAACCTAGCCTATAGATTTTTCGCCAAATTAAACCTTTTTTCACATTTTAATGTAGCCTGCATTACCAGAAGAGTTTTAAAATATCAGTTTTGAGAAATCACTGCTCTTAGAAAGGTTATGATCAATGGAGAGAGGAAAGATCGACGCACAGACTTACACATCAAAATGTTCATCCGAGACCGGAAGCACATGGCGATTGAGGATCTTCTTCAGACTCTTGTAGCCAATTGCTCCAGTGCCTTCGGGATCGGCCAAGCGAAATGCCGAGCTGATGCTCTTCCAGTACTCCTCAATCTTCTCCCGCAGGATGTCTTCCACAGTGGACCAGGCCAGGTTAGCCGGCGCCCGGTCATTCCAGCGGTGTTCCGAGTCCAGCCACTTGTGACCCTCCTGGATTACACAGAGAGGAAAATGAATGAAATTGCAGAGAGAGAGAGAGAGCTCTGTGTAACGTGAGAAATGTCCACAGTGAAGAGAACAAGAACTGTGAAAAGTGATTCTAGCACAGCCTCTGAAAGTGAATGTAATTCTAAGTCCCCATGGATATTAAAAAAAATGCTGCTTTACACACTGCATTAACCCCCTGACGACAGGAATTTCTTCCCGAAAGCTGACTCCAAGAATTCCAGCCTCGTTTAGCCACAAAGGCCACCTGCCAAACCGCAAATTCTCAGTTTGTGACCCTGCGTGCTCTGCATGCTTTGATTTACACAGTGAAAAGGCTGATTGTTCGGTGGCATGCGGCTCTACTCACCCTTCCACATTCCCTTTGCCTCTTTTCAAAGTGGGGACTATTTTGAAGCTGGTGATTATGATGTAAATTCGGTCTCTTCATTTCTGGGCTACTCAAAAAGGCCAATCAGCATATATACAAGAGCCAGGGTCTGCCTTCTTTCACCGTGTTCGCTCGAGCGTGGGCTGAGAATAATAGCTGAAAAGCAGACTGAGGATCTCAATTTTTACGCCGGCTATATTCGCATCCTGGCGCGAAGGGGTTGAATACCTCATGTTGGCCATGCCCTTTTTCCATATTGTTATGGAAAAAACACCTCATTTCATCACACTGTGAAAAAACTTTCAACCCACAGGATGCAACAAGCTTTCTGTTGTACCTTATTACAGTCAGCATTAGATTTAAGAATGTTTTGTTTTCCTTCTATGTACATGTATGTACAAATTCATTTTTGCACATCCTAAATGCTAACACTCAATATTTTGTTTACAACATTTTTTTTAACCCCTTCGCTCCGGCGACGGCAAGAGCCGTGGCTTTGTGTGAGGATTAGTGCATACCACACATATAATCTATTCACCATGCAGCTGCTGGTTCAACGGGGCCTGCTGATGGACAAAGCCCTCCATTCAGGGTATACCACAGCAAAGCAGTCACGGTCAAAGGAATAACCGGCGCGAAGAGGTTCATGCCAGTGTCATTCTCGTTAAACCCACTTCAAGATCCAACAAGACCAACACAGCACCTTGAGTCTGAATTATGTCACAAGCTATTCAAATGAACTGCAACAAAGCATTCCGTTGTCAATATTAACCCTGTTACTTGTGACTGTATGGTCCTAACTGCATGTACATCACGGATTATTGCCAAATCTTGCTGGTTGTCTCAGGGATCTTGAATGTTCCATGTTAATACCTTTGTCTCTCTGACTTCAAACAAGTCCAGGAATGCATGGTAATTGATATTATTTTCGTTGTTGGGGTCCAGCTTTGCCACCAGTCCCTTGAACTGCTGTTCCTTCAGACGTATCGTGAATTTGTCCAGGATCTTGCGTAGTTCCTTCCGGGTGACCTTCCCATCACGATTCTGGCAAAATGTTCAAAAGTAATAAAAAGATCCTAAAATGACAACTTAAAATAAATCTCCAATTCTTATTGCCACGGTCATTGTTGGTTTCTTAACTTGAGGTGCACGCACGTCAGCGAGTCACAAACCAAGTCTGTTGAAGCATTTAAAACTTGCATACAGCTGGCATATAAGCATGGTACCACCTTAGTCAAGACGTCTGATTGTGGTTGCCCCTTAAGTCTGCAGCCCCTTCAAACCCCTCCTCCCTAATGAAGCATATTTGTGCTCGGCACTCCGGCAATACACAGCACGCACAAAGCAGCATACCTGATCAAATGCCAGGAAAGCCTCCTTGATGGACGGGTACATGTTGGTGACGTGCTTGTGTAGCAGTGTGAGTATTTCTTCAACCTCCATCTCTCTGTCTCCTTCCCGGATGGGATTCACTCTACCAGTGTTACACAGGCAACAACCATTGTTTGAGTCAGTGTACACACCAACAAATTTATGCAAGTGGTTATTACAAATCTGATTTGGTGCAGACACTCACTTTAACTCAATACAATATAGGGTTTTTGTTGTTAAGGTCATTTGAAGTTCATGGCAACACGCATGTTTAATAGCCTATGTGCATTGAGGACGATGAAGGACATGACTATAAATTTTTGATTGACACGTGGCCGGTTTTCACACGACAACATTGAAGACATTACTGATAAAACTCCTTGAGGCTCAGCGTGTGAAAAAAATGAACTGCACAATAATGAGAAATGGTTAGTGGGGGACTGGGAGGGGGCAGATTCTTTTTGGAGTTAACTCGGAAACCGGCACGATTATTTAAGAAGAGTGAACGAAAGACCAATTTGTCAGGAGAAATGGCAGAGCATTACTACCAAAGCAGAAGGAGAGTCTTTGACAACTTACTTGTGGTTGGGCTTGATTGGAATGGTCTGACTATTGCCTTCAATTCTGGGATTCTGGAACTTCTCCAAGAAGTGTTCCCATGGAATCTTGTGGGAGGCCTTCAATCCAAACCTAGGAGAAAGAAGAAACACAAAGGAAAATGGGGCCATTTGCAAGGAAGAATTTCAGTACCTAGAGAAGAAACTCAAACAAAGGAACTACTCAAATAACAAAAAGGAACAATGGGAAATAAGTTTTGTAAGTACTCGAGTAATTAAGTACATTTCTTGCAGGATGCAGGTGTGTACACATTCAGTTGAAAATTTGGCTAGCAGCTGGCCAGTGGCTGCAGTTATTTCCCACAGACTCGTGTGTTGTTGCCAGCCACAGCCGCATGATTTTGATCAAGTCTTAATAAGTTCTTCCAAGTAACTCACACATTGCCACCTACATGTATAGCTTATGCAGTGTCAACATCTCCTTCTGTTTATACAAAGAAAAAAAATCCCCCCCCCACATGGGACTTTCAGCTTACTTATCCATGAGCTGGGCAAATAGCTGGTCAGACATCGGCAGAGTGAACTGGACCAAAATGCTCTTCAGATCCTCCAGGGACACGAAGCCATCTTGCCTGGCATCAAACGCCATGAACATTTTCTTGAGGTTCACGTAATTTTCCTTCAGCTGCACATAAAATTGCAGAATTCAGATCTTCAGACACAAGAAAAACCAGGTACAATTCTGGTGGCAAAATCTGAAGTATATTTCAGATGAAAACCAGAAGACCGTTATCATCCGTTACTTACATTTAAGAGGAAAGTAGCTAATTTGCATTTTGGAATTTTGGAATAAATTTATCACATAGAGTGCTGGCTAAAGATCAATTAAAATGCGATGAGAAAATACCGGTAACTGACAGCTGATCATGCTGAGGAGACATATTAAGTTGTTTTTTTGAGGCAAAAACTGCACAAACAATAAAAAAGAGAGACTACTTCACTTTTCTGTTCGACAGCACATGTCAGTTTGTCGGAGTTGTCTAATACCTCTACTCAGATGACAGAATTGCAGAAATTACTGCACTAACCCTTCTGCGAAGCTCGGCTTCAATTTGGGGGAAGGTCATCCCTCGGACGGAGTCATCGGATCCGTTAAAGATGGCTAGTTTTTCAACTTGTTTTGCCCTGTTCTGCTCTCGCTCGGAGAAGGACACTGGAAAGATGTGAGGGGAAAAGTTTGACGACTGGATCGAGATTTATCTCTGTATACTGCCCATACACCAGCAATGTTAGAAATGTCAGGACCTTTCCAACTGGCATTTGTAATTGGAGCAGCATGAAGTCAAGATATGGACAGCTATGTGTCAACGGATGAAGACATTTAGGGAAGTCATTTCTGATGTTAGTTTTTGCGCTCACCTGGCTTGGTGCTCTCAGGAAACATGGCATCATGACGTTTGACATTGACACCTAGTCTCTGGAGAAATTCCTTATAATTGACAACTCCATTGTGGTGAAAGTCATACCGAGACCACAACCTATAGAAAGAAAACCAACCAAACATTGGAGGTCAATACTTATTAAGATATTCAGGGACACAAGCAGCTATTCCTCATAACTCCTCTTAGGGGATAGCAGCTTAATTTCTCGCACCTCAGGAACAAACACCCACTTTAGTAGGTTCTAAATTTTGCACAAAATATATGCAAATTCTTCAAAGGGTGCTTAATCACCATTTCTAGATCCCCTTTGACTCATCTCCATCAATCAGGCTCGGGTGTCAATGTTTGCAGACACTGAACTACTGAGCTAATTACTGAAGTGGTTTTACAGAAGAGCGAATCAGGTACTAAAGCCATGAGAGGCTTGCCATAGAATGGTGACACAAAGATACACCATATTCGGGGGGGAGGGGACAATTTCAGTCAGATTCCCCAACGTGGTGTATTCAATTGGAAATTTTAAATTAAAAGAACCAGACTCTATTCTACAATTTCATTCCGACCCCCGAAAATCCCCTGGTACCATCCCATCAAGGGCTCCAAAGGTATACAATACATTCAGGAATACGACTGAATACGGTCTATTGAGTTAGAATGAAATCAACATAAAACTAGTCTTATATAAAAGGCAGTTAAAAAATCTGCATGGGATGATAGTGACAAATCACCCATTACACCAATTCAACACCATGGCAAGGCTTTGGCTGTTTCAGTAAATAAAGACCAATGAAGAAAATACCAGTCCAGATGATGAAAACATATGGCGATAGTCCTCACCTGTCGTACTGTTCGTCACTCATCCGAAAGCAGTAGTTCTCAATCACCTTACGCAGTTCATGCTTCTGCACTTTGCCGTCTCGGTTGTAATCAAAGAGTTGCAGGCCCTTCAAGAAGTTCTTGAGGTATGCGCCCACCTTCTCCCTCAGCTGACGCTCCAAGACATCGATCCCCATATCCTGGGGGGATTTGGTGTAGCTGTACCTGTAACAATGACAACCATTCAATGGAACCATGTGGTTAGCAGTTTCGCAAGTGCATGTATAATGAGGTTCGAAAAGAATCAGCTATAAGTGCCTAGCCTGTGTTTACAAGTACCAATACAGTACTCTCAATTAGACACGAAGTGAATGTTTGGACAGAGATACACATGAGATGTAAAGCATTCAAGAAAAAATGCAGTCTGGCTCGATTAAAAGTCTTATTCTGATTTCTTCTAAAATTACCAGGACGTCATTAAACTTTTATGTACAAACATTAAGGTTCCTATCCACAACTTAACCCCTTGATGACGGGAATTTCTTCCCGAAAGCCGACTCCAAGAATTCCAGCCTCGCTTGGCCACGAAGGCCACCTGCCAAACCGCAAATTCTTGGTTTGTGGCCCTACGTGCTCTGCACGCTTTGAATTACACGGTGAAAAGGCTGATTGTACAGTGGCATGCGGCTCCCGGCACTACTCACCCTTCCACATTCCCTTTGCCTCTTTTCAAAGTGGGGACTATTGTGAAGCTGGTGATTATGATGCAAAATCGGTCTCTTCATTTCTGGGGTACGCACAAAGACCAATTACCATATATACAAGAGCCAGGGTCTGCCTTCTTTCACCGTGTTCGCTCGAGCATGGGCCGAGAATAATAGCTGAAAAGCGGGCTGAGGATCTCAATTTTTACGGCGGCTCTAGCTGCCTCCCGGTGCGAAGGGGTTAATGCCCATGTACACAGACCGTAAGACCAAGTATTTTCTTCAAATTTATGTCCACCGTACCACGATAAAATAAGTCAGAATCGGAAAAAAGCCTTGACTGCAACACAGCTTTAAGGGGGAAACAAATAGCTCTTGCTGATGATTTGATATGTGCAGAATTGGAATTAAATGAGCTGAATTATTCTTTGCAACTGCACACACCATGGCTGGATTGGTTTCTAAACCAACGGTTGCAGTAAAGTGCTCAGTATTTATAAAGTGTGTACCTGTCACAGGACGGACAAAAGCTAAGCAGTTATATGGTTTGTATTCAATGTCAGTATATCTAAAGGAAGCTCTGTAACTTAAACAGTGAATTGAGTATGTGGGGTTTAAATTGAAAAAAGCAAATAATTTGGCGCTTAATAAGAAAACACAAATGCTGGCCCCAAAACAGAGTGACTCAAAGCAATAAAAATCACCCAGCTTTAGATCAATAGCATAAGCCATTAATTTAAGCAGATCCAAGGAACTGTATCGCATTTCTCAAAAGCCTGGACCATGATTATTGCCAGCATGCAAACTGCTCAATATAAAGCAAGATAGATCGTGTTTTATTGGCATTCCTTACATAAAACCAGATAAAATACAAACAAGCAGATCCAGCAACTGCGCAGAACAAATATCTAGGCATGGCTCAGTAACTAACTGAGGTCTTTGCATAACAAAATGCATATAAATCCAAGTATATGATTTTGCCAGGCCAGGGTGTGTTGGACAACAACGTGGCATCAGTTTGAAAAATTGCTCAGACAAATCTGAGGCTAAATGTACATTGCCTAGTCAGTGCAAAGCTATCACATACTCTGTGGGCTCCTTCACCAACTACCCCCACATTATTAAGTGGTGGTGCAAAATACCTACAGCAGGTTCACTTCTCTCTTTACGGCAAAGTGTATGAATGCCCCTTGCAATATTAAAGCAAAAAGAAGATGATATTTGTCAAATGATTCCCGGTCTAAAAGGATGAAAAATGACAAAGCTGGTTTCTTTTAATTTCAGGTTTTTTCAATTTCTTTCATAGTACTGTTACTTATTTATCCAAAACTGCAGAGCGCTTTTGTGCAAAAAAATACCTAAATAAAAACAACAAAAAATTCCAAAATATCAGAAGGACGCTGGAAATAAAATATACAAAGGGTAACACATGACTGAAAACTAACCTCGAATTGCACGATATCACAACAACAAACAAAAGCAATTTCTTACTGACCTGTGACCTGAGGTCATTTTCCAGGATTCCCTGGAGCCTTCCCCACTGCTGGCAAACCTGTCCAGGAAGTTGCAGTAATTGATGGTCCCATTGGCATTGGCTGGCACCTTGGCTACCATAGCATCAAACTGCTCCCTAGTAAGCGGCTGGCAGTAGATGTCCAACACCCGCCGCAGCTCCCCTTTAGTAATGGCCAGACTCTGGTCGATGTCATAGTTTTGGCATGCCTGGGGTTAAGATGGATATGAGATGTTCAGTGAAGGATCAGTGAGCAAATTCACCATTTCTTGCTGTTATACTGTTTTTGTTTTTAGACTCATTTCCATTAAAAGAAGACCAGGTTCAACATCTCTTGACACAAAATGAAATTAACAAATTTGATGTTAACCAGAATTTTGCTATTAAAATCAATGCTGCTTCAGCTCATTAGGAACGTGTTTATTTTTCTTGATATGAAACAACTCCATGTAAGAATATTTCACAGGTTGCTCCCCAGCGAATAAAAGTCCTGGGTGGAAAGTGAGCAGCGAGGGTGAAGTGGCTTGCCCCAGGACACAACATACATGTTGGCCAACGACTGGATTCAAGCCCCTGACTCTCTGGTCATCAGTCACCAACCCTTAATCACTAGGCTGCATTCCTGCACAGGAGTTTGTCATCGAAGGTCACCGGTTATTCAGTTTAACAATGTCCACTCGGTTACAAGCTATGCCCTTTTCAGTTCGTTTTGCCAGCCAAATGTAGCCTGATTGTATAAGGCTCAAAATGGCAAGAGTACAATGGTGTTGTAGCTGGGACCATCACATGACCTGACACAAGACCAGTCTAAAGAAAAGTAAAAAGTAACATGGTGAAAATTGGTAATGGAATGTTTTGACTGCAGTTCATATTCAATAGTTTGTGACTTGGAGTCAGGCTGGAGGGAGGTCTTACATTGGTTTTGTGATGGCCTTGTGGGACCCTGTGATGGTCTTAAAGGGTCTCGGCTACAACACTGTCTGACAGCCACTTCCAGTCTGCAAAGTGGAATAGCAGCCTATATTTTCCAGTGAGAGTCTTGGAGGCAATTCCCAGGGTTCAGTGTGTGGCCTACCTGTTTCAGGTCATGGTAATGCTGCCGGACTTTCTCTCTGATGAGCTGCTCCACTTCAATGATACTGAGTTGGGGATTGGGTGCCAGAACGGCATTGCCCACAGGTGCAGATGAGGCTGCAGGAATTCATCCAAAAATTGTTAAGGCTTTAAATGTACCTTTTCCCATCAATTAATATTCAGAAATACCTCAGACAGTCTCCATGTATATTCGACAACATGCATCTTGATCGTGTATTAATATTTGATAATGCCCAATGAGAAGCGATAATACCCGCTACGTAAATCGCGCACTGGCACCTGAATACGAGACAGTTTAAATGATTCAGATTGGTCAAGAGTCTGTTTGCACGCGACTTGCAATATAAGTCCATATAAGGAGGTTCTTTTGCACAACAATAAAATAAAATGGATGGGGGTGTTCCAAAAAAAGGAAGTAAAATTCTACAACAAAATCATTAGAAATCTATCACTTATTGATTTCTTTTGACTCTCTAACTAAAAAATTTATTTATGAATGGGAATAAATATACTACTTAAAAAAGTTAAGGACCACTTTTTATTTTGTCTTTTGACTTTTCCCTGAAAATGTCCATTTTGAGAAACTGTGCATTTGATGTTTTGACAAATTTAAAAACGTTTTCATTCTAAGAACACCATCTAGACAGACAAATCATGAAAGAACTGGACCCCACTCATTGCTTGGAAAAAAATGACAAGTTAAGGAAAAAGTGGTCCTTAACTTTTGTGGAGTAGTATATGTGGTTGGCCGGTCTTAAACTTCGGTTTAAAACCGGCTAAGGAGACTGAATGCCGACAATGCCCTCACCTGCAGCTTGGGCATCAGTCGATTCCATTCTCGTAAGTCAGTCTCAAAAACACATTTAAGACCGGCCAAGCACGTACATGTAAGGCCATTGTTCTTTTCAAATGTACATTACTTAATCAGCAGAGCTTCAACTGTACTAATGATCAACTAAAGTAACATTCAGTTGGCAATATGACAATCAGGCAGGAACAAACTTGGCAGCCATAACAGCATGCTGCCTTGTTGAAAAATTAAGCAGTTCATGACAAGGGATGGGCCAAGTGCAATTTTTAGTCATTAGTTGGGCTGGTGGTGGCCATACATGTATTAGCAACCACACGGATGATCAGGGAAATGTGACCTTAAAAATGTGGTAACGTGCTTGAAATGACTCGGTATCTTGTTTAAATAATATAGCCAAGTCATTTAACAAGATAACTACGTCATTTGAGATGGCTAAGTCATTTAAACAAAAGAGTAGATGTGTTCTTTAAATAAGATAGTTGTCCTATGTCATTTAAACAAGAATTTAAATTCTTTATACGACTTAAAAATATTTCCTTACACTGGTAGCAATACACTTTCGTAAGCAACAAACCTCTCGAGGGAGCCCTTTCCTCTATCCGCCCATATTCAAATGACCCACGCGATGCCCGACTGCCGGGGGTGCGGAGTCCGCCGGATGTCTTCAGGATATCCCTGGGTGTGAACATGACACCACCCGTGGCTGGGCGGAGACCTCCCATACTTGAACCAATGACTTGCGGGCTTGCCATGGCCAGCCACTCCAAGGTGGAATTCTAGAAAAGAAGAGTAAAACAAAAAATATTGGACTTTCAATGTTCAGGCATTTTTAGTAATGGTGCGTAGGCTTACTTCAGGCAAACATAAAAACAAATTTGATGTCACAAAACACTTTAAATGTTAGGCCTTTGCTAATTCACATCACAAATATTTGGTCAGACATGACAGACATGTTTGTTTTTGGCCAAATATGGTTGAAGAAAATACCTAGGCCATACATCTTAATATTTCCTGGGAGTGCAACTTCAGTTTCAAAGACTGTTAAAAATTATGTAAGGATAGGATAGGCTGTTACTAGTTTTATCGCACAGCTGTGGAAACTGGAAAATTTATATTTTGGAAAGGATATCTAAGACTTCAATGTCGACCAACTGTGAGCAGACTGTCCGACTGTCTCCAACATACACCTTCGAAAGCACAGACAAGATACAAGCAGCAAATGCAGACGCCGCAAAACATGAAAAGTCATGATTCGATTGCGCTGCGGACATGGTGGTACATCGTAAGACAGGTACTGCCCTGCAGCATGTGCAGCTGCTTCAGCTGAACCTTCGTAATTTCAGACGGGACAAGGCTCTGAACCACAGCTCTTTAATCCTACAGTGATATGGCTAGACAAATCGACATTTTACCTGTTTATTTCCAAGTATTATTCTTGTTTCCTCATCGACCCCTCGCGAAAGATCGCGTTTACCTGTTTTTTTTTTACAGATGCAGACTTAACTTGTGCAGGAAGTTAGTAGGTGGTACCCGGCACACATGGGAGACTACACCAAACCACGCGTTGAGCATGATGAACACCAACCAAACAACAAGTTGCCAGTGCCAAGTCACGTGATCAATCAGTTGATTGAGTGGTTGCTAAGCAGTGCCCTCGACGGCTGTTTCGTAGCTCGAAGAGCTACGAAACAGCCGTACACATACACTTACATGGAAAAGAACAGATGGGGGGGGGAAGTATTTTCTCAAGGGTTTAATATTACGGGACAAGAAAATCTACCAAAGCAAAACGAGCAGTATGTACCCACAGTAAAAAGATTACATTTACCTTTCAAATGAAAAACCAAAGAAGAAACCAATGAACTAACACGACAAGGAATTAGGGGCAATTCTTTTTAATGCACGCACCATTTCCTCCAAACAGCAGTGCTCTTAGCGAAAGACAATGTGCATTTTTATTTTCTGTACAGCTTCCACACATTACACCTCCCTTCATACAGGTATCTGGGCTGAGCAAAAATCGGACAAAAATCTGGAAAAGGAGGAGCAGTAAAATACACATTTTGAATTTACATTTTCTGCCTTCCACTAGTGCTATGTTGATGGAGTACGTTATTGATACAATTTTACATGTCAATATTACTATTAATATACATGAGCAAATCTTCACTGAATAAATTTTTTAATTTTCTAGATCTATCATTTGGCTTGGCATTGGCATGGAACACATCAACTGCTAATCTCTGCAGATAAATCAAAGTCAATTTTGAATATTCCCCAAACTGTGCCAAAGTTGAAACCATTCACAATTGGTCACACTGACTTTAAGCACAGCATTCATATGCATTTTGTGCAATGCATGACTAGACACTAGACCCTTGTCTGCCACTAACACAGGTGGTGAGTCCTGAACTGCTTTGAAAGTTTACATCCCCTTCTTTGAGGAAGAACAGCTTTGCGGTCCCAAATCCAACTGGATATCACCCTCCAAACCCTAACAATCCTGCCATTGTCAAAATTTCAATACATGCAGCTGAGGATTAAATAAAAAGATCTAAGTAAGCTTAGGTTCTTCACTGGATTTTTCACACAGGAACAGTACTTTGCTCCAAAACTTAAGCTCTTCAAACACAGCATACATGCATTTTTCGTTAAAATTTTAGGTATGTGGGGAAAACATCTAAGCAAGACTATACAGTAACTGTACAATTATCACCATTTGCTGTACAATCATGTGATAAATATTAACAGTCATCACTTGAAGATGGTTACCACTAATTTGCCCACAATTGCATACACATTTACAAGCACCACAGGTTTTAAAGGATCCAGGAAATGAATTTTTCTTAGAATCACTTTTTGTGTATCTCTGTACTCTTCTTCCATGTATGAAGACTGTTTGTTCAGACATTAAAAATTGACCAAACACTTCTGGACAAGTGAGGGCACTTTTGCTTTGATGTAAATCCAGGAAGACATGGTTCAGATTATATGTTTTCATGTTAAAACAATGAACCCCCAAAGTTGCTATCTGGGAACATTTCTGTGAAAAGGATTTTTGCCATATACTTACACAGCAATAAATTGCCAATGAAAATGAATTCTGTGCACAAATCAGTGCAACATTGAGACTCAGTGCCTTGGATGACATCATAGTTCTGCTCATGAATATGCACATTTCATTAGCATAAGAACCAAAAAAGCATCAAAATATAGGTTAAAATTGCAAAACAAAAATTTTAAATAGGTTAATTGAAACCTAAACATTCAATTTCAAGGGTTTTTAGAAACACTTATAAAATATTTCCATTTCCTGGTTCCTTTAAGTACTAAAAATTAAACCATTCAAAATAGGGAAAAGCTTATATGAATCTATTTATAAAAAATATCAATGTTAACAAATGTGACTTTAAACAATCATGAAAGCAACAAGGTTACTGTTTGGTTTAAAATAGTAATATAAATAAAATAATTACAATTTTTTTGTATTACTAGTATATTTATAATAAATTAATTGGAATATAATTGCTCACTTAAGTATATTAAATTTAATCAATAAAACAATTTCAGCACAATGACAAATCTCTACAATCTCGAACAAGCAGCACAATTGAATAAAAACAACAGTAAAAATAAGTGTATCACATTAAAGAACAAAAAAACAAACAAAAAGACATTGCACATTGGTAAGTTTCAGGTAATGGATAGAGAATAAGACAAAGTGTTCCCAGTTCCGTGGCCAAAAACCAAATTTTTTCATTCAAAATACTAAAGATTAAAGTTCAATTGCAGAAAGTGAGACAAGAAAAATAACTATTGGTGAAATCATAACACAGTGCTTTGTGACAGGGTCTGTGAAAAGATGGAAAAAGAACTGAAGTCTGCAGCTCAACAACCTTATCTTTGAGGAAAAATTACCATTTATCTGCAACACTTCAATGAATCACGATTAGAAATGTAAATTTTGTTTTTAAGAATTGTTTTTCTGTCAAATTTTGAAAAGCAGTACTGCAAAAAACAGCTGTGAAGAATGATACATGTACATGTATGATATGTAAACAGTTGGTAAATATAGGTTCAACATTTATCCCCACTTTAAAATGAAAAACAAACTTATCATTTACAGCGAGCCATAAATTAACACATGTACATTATTTTTATGGAAGTATTTTTACAGAACAGTGGTCTCAGGAGTACAGGTACTAGACAGTATATTTTTACCGGCAGCCTCCGCAAGCTCAAGCACTGACTGTGAGACTCCTTGTTAAAGTCACAGTAACTTGAAGGTAAATTCACTATGGTGCAATATGTAGCCATGTCAGAGTGAATGCAAGGTAAATGGAGGCACCTGGTGCAATGACACTTCATGGGTGAACACAAGTTTCTTCACAAGAACAAACAGGATACCAAGTTGAAGCCATTTTGCACCTGTGATTGCTATTTTGTTAAAGCACTTCATGAAATGCACAAGAAGTTATTGATACTGATCATAGCTGATGAGACAAGGATGTACATTTACAAGAAACATACATGATCTGGGATAACTTTTTGTGGGGGTAACTTTTTCCAGATGCTCACAAAAACCTGGATGTGCACGAACAACAGCACCTTACAGTCAGACAGTTTGAATCGTTCTTGCATTTTATGGAAACAATGACTAATTTCTTCGTAAGTGGCTGCATCCAGGATAGCTAACAAATGAAACATGAGCAATCTCTCTTTACACAGTTTTTTCAAGACAATGATCAAGAGGGAAAAACCATGACTATCTAGTGTCCTGACTACATACATACACGTATACAACAATTTCATCAAGGGACAGACTACATGTACATGTATAAGTTAATATGTAAATACACAAACAGGACAGATTTAACATTAATGACAACGCCTTAACATTTTAAACCCTACAGTAAAAGTAAGGCTGCCTCTATATGTAAACCACTTGGGTAAGGATGCCAATATTAAACACCACTATGGGAACTGCGGCTGTGTGCATGTCTTGTAGGTGCACCAATGTAATTCCAACAAGCCCTAATTCCGACAAATGAATTTGACACCTCTACAGTATGTTCCTTTACATTCTGCACCTTGCTTTATGAAATCTGTCACAAAAGTCTAACAGTGCGGCAGATTACACAGATTTTACGCCACACTGCTGCAGAGCCCCAAATTAAGGACATCAAGTGATCTTCTCCTCAGAGCTACATTTGAACGTCAAAATCTGATCAAATCCAGTGGAATGGTCTCAATATCAACCCTCCCTCAACATCTATGACAAGGTTTGTGAGGATTCTGAATGACTGAAGAAGGCAGAGTTCTGTCACTCTTACTTCAAGTGGCACTCAATGCCTCCTGAGAATTAAGTTCCGAGAGTGCGCCGGTGCGTTCATGCACAGTGGTAGATTTAAGAGGAGGGCTCCTCGCAAAAATCTCTAAGGAATGGGGGTTGCAAACTCTTCCATCCGAGATTTTCACGCGTATATCACACCACAATCAGCAGTACAGTTTTGGATAAACTACACAATTCGACACTTCTGTGATAAACTGACAGTACATATGGCTAGTTTTCTGATGTGAAAGGTAAGTTTTGGGGCTTGTGACAAAAAAATTGCTCTGGCAACAATCGGCTTAACAGATTTTGATCACAAACATAACATACTCTTTTGAGGACAAGGGAAACCGATAAAATACATATTTGAACAACAATGAAACAATTGTATGTGGTGCTAATGCAAAGCTACCTTGTTAATTGGATGAAACTCCATTCATATACAACCCTGCACAAACACCTTAATGCACAAAGCACCTCCTGTTACTAAATTGGCCAATGAGTGACTGGCATAAATCACTTCAACCAATGAGCTCACAGAACACACCTGCTACATTTAATGTGTGGCCAATCAGCTCAAAGCGTATACTGGAAATCCAGCCCGGTGGAAGCAGATAATCTGTCCGGAAGTATCTTGTCAAATTTCTCATTCATGTGGACGGTGAAATAATACTTCCAATATCCGACACGATCCTCTGCAACAAAACAAGAAAATTAAAAACGTCGCCAGATATAATCTAAAAGATCCAGCTCAATTCTTGTCTGCATTTCACTGCTTCACTTCACTGATATTACTCGGATATTATCTTGGATTTTTTTACCTGTTGAAAGTTTAGCTCGATCTTGAAATTAAAATCTTTGAGATTTCTAAAATTTGTTTGATGATAATGAAATTGAAAAGGCCCTAAACAGATTAGGTCTCTCTAAGTGTCACAGATCCCTTTTTTTCTTTGCCAAAAACACACTGTTAGTTAAATTAGGGATGTTCTTCCATCCTACAGGTGCTCACCTTTGCGATTGTATGCAACCTCCTCCTCAAAATGGGTACAAATCTCTTTCAGCGCTGCTGGGGTTAGTGGTCGCTCTAAGAAATTTGCCAACTGTTCCACACTGGACTTCAGATCCTGAAATGGAAATGAAAAAAAGTACATAATGTACTAAAAGACCAATCCAGTGACAAGAATCAGGAGCCGTTACTGCGGTGTCCCCACGTGCGTGAACAAAAGAGATGCACATTGAGTGCTTCCTCGTCAGCCAATGGGAACGCACTGCTAACCAAAAACATGCGCTGGTCAAGCTTAGAAATGTGCACCTGAGTGACGGGAACACCGCAGTAATGGCATCAGCGAATCGGTCGATACCAAATCTTCTGTGTCCTTAATCAAACGTCAGCAATGCATATCTCAGTATTCACGCACCTATCTTCAATAAGGTTGATTCATTGTTTCCAAGCATGCCTTCAACAAAATTTAACCCTCATGAAATATGCAGATTTGTATTGCTTTTACGCCCTCCAAAAGTCACTCTGTGCACTCCTCAGATCAGTTTGTCCAACATCATAGCAGTCGGCAACTTTCAAATGTCTAACGCTTTATTTTCCTGGATTCAATACTGTACATACCTTCCGGATATCTTCGTATTTCAGGAAGAGCAAGTTGTCGTCCTTCCGCCGTTCCCACCATTCCAATACATGTCTGAAGTAGGAGCCATATCCCACTGAAAAAAAGAGAAAAAACAAGAAACCACATGCTTCAAACAGCTGCAACTGCAGCAGTGATACCAGCAAGATACCAACATCAGCAAGATATTTGGCCACCACTGGAATCAATTCCGTGCCCCACTTGATACTTGTACAGAAACAATTTACCACCTTTTCTAATCCATAAGTACAGTGTAGTTGTTATTGGATGACGACAAACAGTTTTCTATTCACCTGCCGCTCACACGTAGTATGACAGATCACTTGGTTCAGCCACGGTTCTTGGAAGGTCACAGGTTCAAATGTCAGGGCTGATAATATCTTTATTTTCTACATTCACTCACCAAACCCCTACCCCAAAGGAAATATTGTTTTAAGATGAAATGTTACACTGGTTTTTGCTTAAGAAAAGGAATCTTCACATCAGTGGCCCTCATGGTAAAACATATCATTGGTACAACCAATCTTTGAAGCTGATCACCCAAGTGTCTCCCCCTTTGGTGCTGCTTACATTTGTTGTTGATGAAGCGGTAGAAGAACTGATGGAACGTCCCCTTGTAGTGCACCATACGGACGGTGCGATGAAAGTCATAGAAAGAACACATTACATCCTTCGGATTCCGAGTGATGTATATCACCTGAAGGAGACCAGAAAGAGACTAAATGGATGAGTCTTTACTCACTGGTTAATGAGTTGAGGTATTCTTCCAAGACCTCCCACGTCCTTCAAAATCCAAGAAATTTTTGATGGATTTTGCAGGACTTGAGAAGGCACGGCCCTGCCGCTGTACTTTTTAGGATTTGATACTTCTATCCTTGAAAGTTGAAGTAAAACAAATGTGCAACAACGGCCGAGGAAAATAGGGTTCAGGAGTCACTTCATCCTTGTTTCAGTCAAGTTTAGTCATGTGCCCATTCAACTATCGATGCACAAACAGGGTCATAAATAACAGCAAGGGATGGCCATGAAAATGGAATGCCACAGTTTTTTTGGTCACAGTTCACATGAAAGGCCAGAGACTGGATAACTTGCAATGTGACTTGTTCTGAACAGGCTTACTAAAAGCAGAACAAAGTGTCCTTTAGTTTTTTCTTGGGCACTGATGGAGATGTGAGTAAATATACATGTACATCTTCCTAAATACCAAACTGATGAAGTTTGAAAAACTGTTTAGAAAAGCTATAAGATAAATATTTCAAAATCACAACTTCCAATGTACGGGTTGTTGAAAAAGGTTCCCATATTAGGAAAAGAGTTTTCCTTGCAAAAGTTTTATCAAAATTTTGCAGGAAAGTTTTTTTGCAGATGACATCAAGTTTTTTGTTGGCATTTCAAAAATACTGGTTGAGTAGCTTTTTTCAATGTCAAACCACACGCACTTTGCATTCCTTGTTCCGAACACCCTCAGGCAGCAGACCATAGGGCAGGTGGGACTTGATGTAACGGGGCGAGGGCAGGCTCTTCAGCAGTTCCAGTCCAGGGCTGGGAGCTTCCAGGAAAGGGATGGAGTCCTCTACCGTTTCCAGGCTGAGGTTCGTCTTGCCCAGATTGCCTCCCTCCAGAAGTAGGTAGATCAGGTCCTGCAGCCACACCCCTGGTGGGGCAAGGATACTCAAGAAACTGAACACACTGAACATGTACAACGATAAACAGAAAAAGAGCTGGTGCCTAAGTAGTGAATGCAAGGAGGGGATAGGTTTTCTACAAATTTTTTTGGAAGATCCTTTAAACCAACACGACAAAACTAGAATTTTCACATTTGGATAGCTAATGTGAAAAAAGTATTTTCAGGCACTGAGAGAACAGCAACAACGAAGGTAGAAAGTATTCTGGTAACAATGCGAAGATAAATGTATAAAGAATAAAGTACCTTTGACATGTTTGAACTCCCTGAAATGGCAATATTGCAGTGCCCCCTTTAAAAAACTGTCAAAGTTTTCTTTAACAAACCAATATGATGATTTGATGCAGGAGATACATGTTTATGGTACGATTACACAACAATTATGCTCTATATCTAATATATATATGTAAAATAAATTCAATACATACATGTACAAAACATGATTAGCACTGATGAGTGAAAAATAACAGAAAATCAAATTGTTACCACCATATACAACTCCAGGCATGCATGATACTCAACAAGACAGGTACACCGTAAGGAGTTCGCCGGACACAAGTTACAAATAAACAGCAGGCACAAGACCACAGGATTTAAGCCCAATCACAAAAGAATCTGGAATCAGCATAAAACATCAAAAGAAAAACCCGCATTATTTTGGCATTTGTTAACAACAGAATACAGGTACTGTAACAGACTCAAAATGAGGAGTCTAGCAGAGGCTCAAATTTCCTTCTGGAAGGACCAGAGCATGGCTGTAATTGAGCTTTCTCTACTATAATCATTGGTGATGAAGCAAGCTACGTATGTACCCATTTCTATGTTGCATTTAGAATGAGAATCCCATACTGAGCTACAGGACTCAATATGAGGTCGAACTAGGCTCTTCTATGCTTGAATCTTCACCTTTTGAGGGGCACTCCAAGGTTAGCCCAAAAAATAGGGCTATATTGGCTTTCTTTTACAATCTGTCTCTTTTCTGTCGCCACCACAGCCCTACTTCAAGGAATATCTTAAATGCCTGAAATCCAAACTGCCGGATTGTCACAAACTTTGTGATATTTCTATGCTGACCAAGGGCGGCACCATTTTTAAAAACGAAAACAGCATCGGATTTCAAGGCACCTGCCAGGCGCTCTGGTATACTCTGTAACATACAAAACTGATTCCCCGTCACACCTTGTGCGACAGACGAACAAGGAACCCGTAAAATTAAATTTGAAACGATCAAGATGTTTCATGACATGGCTGTAAATTATATGCCCAATAACCTTGCAACATACTGAGGTTACGAAAACTGGCCTCTTTTCAGATGGGTCAGCACACCTAGCACGACTTCCTCTGAAAAGATAGGACTAGTAGTAGGCCTACTATTTGCCACAGAGCAATAAGCTGGAATAAAACCAGTGAGAAGAGTTTGACTGAAACTACTTTGTAAGCATGGATGGAACATGAAAGTGCCAGGGTGCTAACAATTTGAAGAAATCAGTTACTCGGACCATAGACATTTTTCGTCCTCCATACATGCTCGAGACTACTACACACACATGCAGAACACGTACCTGCACGCGGGTAGCTCACAATCCAAACATCATCTTTTCTTACGGGGAAGCTGGCTACATCTTGCATCTTTCCACGGCAGAATGGCGGTAACCTTACCCCATCTACGACATAATACTGCATAATATCATACTCATCGTCTATCGCCAACTTTGTGGGTGATTCGGGGGAAGAAATCTGCGCCATCTTGTTTTCAAAATACGACATAAAAGTAAAGCTTTCGTGTCAACACAATACTAGATACTGTGCGTGCTCGTACTTTTGGGTTTTACAGGACAAATAGGTGAGACCATCAGTCGTACTATGCTTGCAAGAGGGCGCTCTTGTTCTCTCAAAAGAGGTCCAGACCAGTAAATAAGTTGCCATAGACAACGGTGATAAGTATCCCCACTTCAAAAAATCAGGCAAAATACTCACAAGTTTCACAGGTGTTCAACACACATATCAAATTAAAGCTCACTTCCTCATCTTTTATATCTTTAATTTCCCTTCCAATTTTCAGTGGCTTAACCGATGACTTTTGAACATATTTCTCTCCAGAGAAAATCACCCCTCAAAACAGTCAGGAGGCCCATCGTCATTTTGGAAAGTGATTCCTACACTCCATCCAAGGCATAGAGCAATTCGGAAGGCCCCGCTTGGTTCGATACTTTCAGGAATACAAGCTGACAGTCCTGCCCCTGGATTTCATCCACATTTTTAACAAACCACCCAGTCCACGTGCCACGAAATGTTCTAACAGCAGAGAATTTGAATATTGGGCCTATTTAGTATTTACATTTTTCAGGAGTTGAGCCTTTTTTTTAGGAGTTATAGAGTAACTCTTTGCGGCCATTTTGACACCAATTTTGCGAAACCGAACATACCGTCCTTGCCCAGCGCGCAGTTATTTGAGACGGGTCATCCAACTATGTATACATTTTCCACTGCGGTGCTCAACTTGAATGCACGCGGGACTGCACACATGTAGCTCTGAACTTCAAAATGGCCGGGACAACAAAACCCCATTTGTTGTGTATCCTCCGCATTTGACCTCTTTTTTTTTGAGGAGGGTCATAACCCTCATGGAGGGTCACAATGAGGGTTATAGCGGTAACCCCGAAGAGGATCGTCGAATGGGTTATGTGTTAATGATGACATATACGGATCGATGAAGGAATCGATAACATGAAAGGGGACGTGTTAGGCTATGGAGGGATCCGACGACGATGACAAAGTCTTGAGAGGTCGGAATGGCAGAACGCGAAGGGAAAGGGCATAACCTGTTTATTGAGAAGCGTGGACGTCTTTTGTAGTTTGAACTTTTTATCGATATTGTTTATGCCCGCCACTGGTTACAATTGTTTACAATTACGCCGAAAGTTAATGATTTGTTAGTTTGTTTGTTAGTTAGTTAGTTGGGTGTTGGGGGGGTTGTTGGGTTGTTTGTTTGTTTGTTTGTTTGTTTGTTTGTTTGTTTTTTGACGTGCGTATGTCCGGCAGTTGTTGTTTAACTGCCATTTCGGATTGCATTCCGTTGCTGGTTGATTCTTCTTCTCTGTGAATGACTAAAGAGGAGGGATAAGGTTCGCACCACCGTACAAAGATCGCACAGTAATTCAAGACGGAGGTATACTGTTGCGAATTACTTCTATCGTTAAAGTTAATCAGCTGCGTCAAAGTCCACTGAAGACAAAGAGTATATTTTTACATAAACCTATTCGGGTCGATGTTTAAAAAACAACCGCGAGAACACGTAAAATAAACACTTGTCTGCATGCCTTAAGCTCTATTTGCGAATGAACTTTATTTGTTACAGATAAAAACTTTATTTCAATTTGACACAGGATCGAGAAACAACCACACACAAAATAGCACACAGGGTCAACATCATTTTGCAATATACATGTATGATTTATTATTATTATTTTTATTTTTATAATCAAAAATAGTAAGTAAACGATAATAATAGTAACAGTAGTAAGTAATAAATAAAAGTAAGTATCGTGAATTTAAGTTATCGGTAAATTATAAGTATGAGGAAGACGTTAAGTAAACAAAATTACGGTATAAATAGCATAAATGATAAGGTACATGTATGTTTATTGCGTATGTAGTGTATGTATACCAAATTATAGACAGTGTTTTCAGATTGATTCAAACTAGAAATCATTATATCGACAAGTAGTTTCCTAAGTTTGTTTGTTTTTCACGAGCCAAAGAATGCAATCAGACATCATATCATATTGATATAAATGCGATCGGTGTGTATGTCACAAAGGTAACTATTAATAAAAGAAATAAAATACACTGACTGCAAGACCTTTTCAGCAACACGTCACAATGGAATTTGTAGATAGACGTCAACTAACAATTTAAATTGAACAAAATGTTTCCGCTAAGAAAGCATTTATAACAAAAAAAATCGCCCACGGGATTTAATTAAGGGATAGCTACAAATTATAAAAAGTTTTGATGACTTTTTTTTCTGGGGCATGCTTTCTTTTTACTTTGTCCGCATAACACTGCTCTAGAAACATCACCGGAAGGCAGAAATATTATGGACCAGGTTAAATCATGTATCAAGCGAAACTACTGTTGTCTCCTCACTCATTCACATGAATCATGGCTGTAAAAAAAAGCCCTTCGGGTTTCACCCGGAAACTCTCTCAACTTACATAAAATAACTTGCTGATCAGAGGTAACAAACAGATAAGTATCATTCGATAAAACTCTATATAAATACATGTAATTGTAGTATCAATTAAGCTGAGTAAATTAGTAATGCATGAACATAATATAAGTGCAAGCCAATCACGCTACAACCCTCAACGATGAAATAAATATATTAATAAACTGACATAGGCCTACATCGATGACAAAAGGAGTCTAGTTAATAATTATTCCAATTAACTGATCTCTTTTCTTTTAAGTTACTTGGATCTTTGTAAGGCATAGAATATCTCTACTTGTACACTTAATCAAAATGAAAATCATCTTTAACCGTTGTCTTATTTTTCAAATTTCCAACTGTGTATCGATGTTTAACTCTTCCGTTGTGGCTGAAAATACATTATTAAACACAAGCAAGCAACATGTGGAAGAATAATTCTTTAGTCGTTTAATTCAGAAGAAACTGTTAACCTTATTTCTAAATCGCTTTTAAAATATCTGTTTTTGGCTGTGGTAGTTTTCCATCTCCAATGCTGCATAATTAATTCCTCTGAAATTCCTTTATTAGCTAAATGCGATGCTCCATCAGACCCTAAACTGTGCAAGCCATATTTCTTGGGATCGGGCACCCCAATCTGTTTCAATGCATCCAGGAATAGCTCCTGTGCACCTTGTGTAACTTAGTGGCTTATTCTTCAGAGGAACGTGTGCTTTCTGTTTGGAATGGTCGGAGAGTGGTGCGAACACAAATACACCATCTCCCATTTTAGTGTCACATTTTAACAAGTACAACTTTAAAAATGGAGACGGGAGAGTATTCATTGTTGGTGTCAGCAGTAATCGCAGTTGAGCCTTCACTAAAAATGTCAGTTTTAGATCTGGGAACAGAAACTGACAACCCATTTCCTTCCGGCAATCGAGAAATGTGACTAGCTTTTAGTTGTACAATTTCCTCGTGTCTGAAAAGCAAGGGAAACTTTAATGCCACGTAACAAGCTGTTATGAGGTTAAGCAAATTATTTTTTGGACTGCCAAATCTATCTACAAACTCTTTTTACGGTCTCAAGAGGAGTGGGTTCTTTTTGCACGAGGGGTTTTTGGAGTTGACGTCTACTGCTAATAATAATCTGCTGAACTATAAGCGAATCAACCGGGTTGGGATTTATATTTACTGAAGAATAAATCCATTCTATGGCAGCAGCGGCAGTAGTTATAACACTATCGGATTTGACTCGGACCGGCCAGCCGACCCCAGCAAGCTCGATGGTCGAGTAGTTAAGACATCTGCACTAGTAAGCAGGAGGTCGTGGGTTCGAGTACCATCCGAGTAAGCTTGTGAGGTTTTTTCGCAAGCTCTCGGACAAGCACTGAGCATACAGTGCTTATTAATATACGTTGGGTAAGGGCAAACCTGTTACATATAATTAACATCTCTCCAACGCAAAAAATACATCTTGAAAACTATCGGATTTGGCTGAGGTTCTCTTGTGAAGAAGACAAGCAGCAATGAATTCATCCTTAATAGGGAGTCTTATTTCAACTTTTAGTTCTTTTAACCATTCGAAAAATTTTCTACAGTTGTACAAATAACTATATATAGTACCATGAGCTTCAGCTAAAATAGCTTCGTTGAAGATTGGTCCCTTCACTTCCTCAAGACTGCCAGGAAAGTTTGACAAAAAGGCTGAGAGAAAATTATCTAATGACAAAGAAAAACAAGAAAAATGAAGACGTGTTCAATTTACTGGCAATCTATGTATACTGCACAGACTGTACCATTAAAATGCGGGGACCCAAGTAAGGAATGTTTATTTCTTCCTTGAACCAAGGCAATCGAGCCATCCATAGTCACAATTCCTTTAATCCAAGGTGTGAAACTAGACCACAGGATAGGCAAAAAAAAAAAAAAAAAGAGGACGGCCACCAAGGAAAGACGAGTGCTCCTTTAGCTGTACACATTTGAATATGATCGAGCACACTAGGAATTAAGACTACAGGTGGCACTAACAAACAGTTTTCACCCAACCAGTTCTGTGCAAAGGCATCTAGACCCGAAGTTCCAGGATTCCAAAACCTGGAGAAAAAACGGGGAAGTTGTTTGTTATAGTAGTTGGCAAAACAATCTACTGAGAATGGCCCCCACATTTCACTGAGTTTTTGAAACATCTCCTTTGATATCATCCAATCATCACAGTCATTTAATCTACTTACAAAGTCTGCTTGGTCATTTTCGTATCTAGGAATCCATTGCACTTCCAGACTTATTTTGTTTTGAACACAAAGGCTGTAAATATTAACGGTTAGGTCTTGTAGATTATTATTCATACTGCCTATTTCTACAATCCTTGCTGCTGTTAGGCTGTCGGTGAATAGCTTTAGGTAGGAGTGGGAAACAATGGGCAGAAAAGATCTTAGCGCATGATGGACGTTGTCTTTACTGACTGCTGATTCCTGGAGTTCCATGGCGTTGTCCTGCCGGGTTTGGGGTGGCAATGGGAGCGGTGCCTGCGGTTGCCATGGTGTTGATCGGGACTTGCCAGGGTTTATATCTCGTGTGGAAACTTGTGTAGCTGATTGCGGGTGCTGCAATGTCCAGGTTGAATGGGCATTCTCTGGACCAGTGACCAGGCCTTCTGCAGCTGAAGCAAATGTCAGCATTCGGCATGCCTAAAAAAAGAAAATTAGCACTAAAGCGGAAGAGGATGTTATTTTTTATGGAGGAATTTACCGAAAGAGTGCAGAATATAGATTTCGATCACGAGTACGTACTCAGCAGGGTGACAAGCGGCCTGAACTGGACTGTGCTGCTTTGGACGCTACTTATGTACTATCATGCATCGGTGAATCATTACGATAACACACGTCACGGTGCACCATTTGAATAGCCAGGGCATAGCTCATGTGACACACATAGCAGGAAGCTCCGAATCATGTTACGTCATCCAAACTATCAAAACTACATTCTAATCTACAGATTTCTGAAGTAATATCTGTCCTAATATCTGACGTGGCCCCTTCCCCCACTCGTGACCAAAGACCGTATAGCGCTGCGTAGCGGCGCTCTTCAACAAACAGGCTGTGCATGGACTCACTGTCTACAATTTGAGGAAGTGGTTTTAAATTAATATATCTTATACTGGCGACCGACCAACCAACCCCCTCACTGCGAAAAAATAACAATAATAACAATAATAAAGAAGAAAAGAATAAATGGGAAGATTTTTAAAAAGTGAAATATTGAATATGTTGCCACGTTGTCCAGATAGTTGGAGCAGAATTTCTTTTTTCTCTTCTATGTTTTATTGATCATAAAAACGCAAAACATACATTAGAAGAACAAGCACGAATTACACAGAATTAAGAAGATTGAGAAAACGGGAGATAAATGGAAAGTATAAAAGAAAAAACTTCAGGAAAAAAAGTGGGGGCCATGAAGAGACGGGTAGAAAGATGGTCACTGTACATGTCCATTTGAAATAATTGCATAGGGTTTACAGAATTAGAATTGAAATTTCCATCTTTATAATGAAGACAAACGGTTTGATTTTTGATAGCAATCGTATATTCTATATGATACTGATTTTGTAAAAATAGTCTTATACTATAATCTGGAATCCTCTTATCGTATATCAATTCTGTTATTTTGATTATATCAATTCTGTTATTTTGATATTAAACTCGTGTGAATATTCTATTTAAGATATGGAAATATATAAACTAATAAGAAAATCCAATGCTATGCAAAAAACAAAACAAAACGAAACAACAACAAAAAACACGAAACGCAATTTCCTGGACCCTTTTTCCGAGCCGGATTGAAATTGCATAATAACGTTATGTTAGGACATTTTGAAATGAATTGTTCAATTTTCGATAATTTCCAATTAGGCATTAGCTCACCGCGTCGAGGTGACCTATATTATATACGTACATCTTAAAGCTCGTATTATTATCTTCTACCGTAAATATTATTTACGGTAGAAGCTGATAATTGAGACAAATATAGTGCGCCCAACCTGCCCTCTGGTCCAAGTTCAATATGTAATGAACTTCTTCTTCTTCTCAATCAGTGCCTGATACAGACAGCAAATATAGGAGTTGGGAGGCGTTTATTTCCCACCAAAATGGCCAACTGGATACTTGGAGATTACTATTCTGTCACTTGGACCCTTGTGATTGGGGCCATTGGCATCTTTTTGATGTAAGTTGTCGAGCTCTTCTCATATAATAAGTGCTGAGAGTTCAGCAGGGAAATTCTATTTCCCTTCTCCAGTTAGGAATTTATCACTTTCATGAATGCATTTCGGCGCTGCCAGCCAATATGTCTTCAGTTTTCCATTGCTAAAGGACTCTCTGAGAATGACTTCCAACTTTCAGAAAATGATGCTGTTCCACCCATATGACTTATTTTTACAGATATGATTGGTGGTGTCATCAGTACTTCCAAAGAGCGGGCATCCCTGTGGTCCCTTACTACCCAATAGTAGGTAATGCCATTGATTGGTTCAGGGTAAGTAGGCGGTTAATATCATGTTTACACTGCAAAAAAATGTTGTCTTTAACCCTAAAAGGGCCGGCTTATTTTTAGCGCATCTCGCAGCCGGCCAGGGGGTGCCTCACTCAACTCTCTTGAAACTCGGCACACATGTAAAGCACTCCTTATCGTTACAAAATAATGCGAAGTTTGAACTCAATCAGATACATTTTTCCGTTGTCAAAGTCATTTGAAGTTTGAGGATACATGCCTGCCTATGGAATTCCATATCTGCCGTCGCCCGTCGTCCGTC